CCGTGTGCACGCACCAGCCCGCTCCACCCCGAGGGACACACGGAGCCCTCCCCGCCGTGTACACACACCACCCCGCTCCACCCCGAGGGACACACAGAGCCCTCCCCGCAGTGTACACGCACCACCCCGCTCCACACGGAGCCCTCCCCACCGTGTACACATACCACCCCACTCCACCCCGAGGGACACACGGAGCCCTCCCCACCGTGTACACGTACCACCCCGCTCCACCCCGAGGGACACACGGAGCCCTCCCCACCGTGTACACATACCACCCCACTCCACCCCGAGGGACACACGGAGCCCTCCCCACCGTGTACACGTACCACCCCGCTCCACCCCGAGGGACACACGGAGCCCTCCCCACCGTGTACACGCACCACCCCGAGGGACACACGGAGCCCTCCCCGCCGTGTACACGCACCACCCCGAGGGACACACGGAGCCCTCCCCGCCGTGTACACATACCACCCCACTCCACCCCGAGGGACACACGGAGCCCTCCCCACCGTGTACACGTACCACCCCGCTCCACCCCGAGGGACACACGGAGCCCTCCCCGCCGTGTACACGCACCACCCCGCTCCACCCCGAGGGACACACGGAGCCCTCCCCACCGTGTACACGTACCACCCCGCTCCACCCCGAGGGACACACGGAGCCCTCCCCGCCGTGTACACGCACCACCCCGAGGGACACACGGAGCCCTCCCCACCGTGTACACATACCACCCCACTCCACCCCGAGGGACACACGGAGCCCTCCCCACCGTGTACACGTACCACCCCGCTCCACCCCGAGGGACACACGGAGCCCTCCCCACCGTGTACACGCACCACCCCGAGGGACACACGGAGCCCTCCCCGCCGTGTACACGCACCACCCCGAGGGACACACGGAGCCCTCCCCGCCGTGTACACGCACCACCCCGAGGGACACACGGAGCCCTCCCCGCCGTGTACACGCACCACCCCGAGGGACACACGGAGCCCTCCCCGCCGTGTACACGCACCACCCCGAGGGACACACGGAGCCCTCCCCGCCGTGTACACGCACCACCCCGAGGGACACACGGAGCCCTCCCCGCCGTGTACACGTACCACCCCGAGGGACACACGGAGCCCTCCCCGCCGTGTACACGTACCACCCCGAGGGACACACGGAGCCCTCCCCGCCGTGTACACGTACCACCCCGAGGGACACACGGAGCCCTCCCCGCCGTGTACACGTACCACCCCGAGGGACACACGGAGCCCTCCCCACCGTGTACACGCACCACCCTGAGGGACACACGGAGCCCTCCCCGCCGTGTACACGTACCACCCCGCTCCACCCCGAGGGACACACGGAGCCCTCCCCACCGTGTACACGCACCACCCCGAGGGACACACGGAGCCCTCCCCGCCATGTACACGCACCACCCCGAGGGACACACGGAGCCCTCCCCGCCATGTACACGCACCACCCTGAGGGACACACGGAGCCCTCCCCGCCATGTACACGTACCACCCCGCTCCACCCCGAGGGACACACGGAGCCCTCCCCACCGTGTACACGCACCACCCCGAGGGACACACGGAGCCCTCCCCGCCATGTACACGCACCATCCCGAGGGACACACGGAGCCCTCCCCACACACAGGTGACCCCTGCTTTGCCCTGACAGGGCACTGGGAAGGGGGCAGGTCAAGGGCGGCCCTCATGTTGACTGAAGAGCTACGCCCCAGCTCTCGGCCCTGGTGACCGCTGAATTCTCACAGCGCCTCAGGAGAGGTGTTGTGGCCCCAATGAACACTTCCCCATAAGGAGGAAAAGTGCTGCACAGGCCTGGGGAGTCTGGGAGAGCTGGGCGCAGCCTGTGTCTCCCTGCCGCAGCATGTGGCCGGCACGGGCCGGAGGCTCCTGTGCAGCTGACTGTGTGCTGGGTGCAGCTCCCTTAATCCGTAAGCAACAGCTCAGGCAGCGGCGGCTTAGTACACAGGCAATAAGGGCAGACCCTACCCAGGGAGGCTGACCAGCACCGGGCTGTGGCCAGCCCAGGAGAGTGCAGCCCAGCCCAAGGGGCACCACCCCCACCCCTCAGAGCTCTGGCAGAAGCCCCTGTGGCATCAGCCACCCTGGGCACAGCAGGAAGAGCTGCTGACCTTGTCTAGCACCCCAGGGTGCCTTGAGAGCTTGCCTGGCACAGGGCGGTCCCCACCAGACAGGGCCATCTGTGTTTCTGGGTGTGGCGTCCTCAGCCAGCTCCCCGGGGAGCCCCAGCCTCAGGGCTCTGGTGGCCTTGACCGAGGCCCTGGGAGACAGAATGAGTTTCCTCCTCCTCACTTTTTCTAAGAAAGCGGCCATATCCCAGCACTTGGACTGCACCCCGTGCACGGTCACAGGCCTGTGGCCTCCACGCTCCAGGTGCTGCCGTCCCAGCTGCTCCAGGGTGGGCTCTGTCTTGTGCTGCTCTCCCAGCTGCTCCAGGGTGGGCTCTGTCTTGTGCTGCTCTCCCAGCTGCTCCAGGGTGGGCTCTGTCTTGCGCTGCCGTCCCAGCTGCTCCAGGGTGGGCTCTGTCTTGCGCTGCCGTCCCAGCTGCTCCAGGGTGGGCTCTGTCTTGCGCTGCTGTCCCAGCTGCTCCAGGGTGAGCTCTGTCTTGCGCTGCCGTCCCAGCTGCTCCAGGGTGGGCTCTGTCTTGTGCTGCCGTCCCAGCTGCTCCAGGGTGGGCTCTGTCTTGTGCTGCTGTCCCAGCTGCTCCAGGGTGGGCTCTGTCTTGCGCTGCTCTCCCAGCTGCTCCAGGGTGGGCTCTGTCTTGCGCTGCTCTCCCAGCTGCTCCAGGGTGGGCTCTGTCTTGTGCTGCCGTCCCAGCTGCTCCAGGGTGGGCTCTGTCTTGCGCTGCTCTCCCAGCTGCTCCAGGGTGGGCTCTGTCTTGTGCTGCTCTCCCAGCTGCTCCAGGGTGGGCTCTGTCTTGCGCTGCCGTCCCAGCTGCTCCAGGGTGGGCTCTGTGTAGCACGCAGCAAGCGACTTCATCACCTCCCTTGTAAATGGGAGCTGAGTGTTGGTAACCAGCTAACGGGGCACACAGGCCCTTGTGTCGGATTTTTCTGGACAGTTGCCTCCGTTTTGCTTTCGACTCGGCCCGTGTGCAGTAAGGAGCGGCTCCATCGCCTCCCGAGCTGTCCCCTGCGACGGCGCCCGCATGCATCCCGCGGTGGCCGGGACGCCTTGCTGAGCAGTGTGTGCTGCGGCTTCGGAGCGCTCTGGGTTCAGAATTCTGGAAGGACCTTCCTTAGTCCTTGCTTGGGTCTCCGGACTCCTGATGCGGCCTTTGGTGCTCTGGCCTCCGGAGGCCAAGGCTGCAGTGAGCCGTGATCGGGCCACTGCACTTCATCCTGGGCAATGGGTCAAACCCCATCTAAATTGCCCTAAGGATTTCAGGTCTCTGAGCCCAGGAGCCTGCCCAGGCCCTGCAGAGGAGAGGGCGGCCGAGGGAGCGGCCGGGCGTTATGGAGACCAGAGCCAGTGCAGAAGGGAAGGGAGGGGTGTGGGGGCCCTGCCCAGGTCTCCAGGTCTCCGGGCCGGTGACCCTGACCCCTTCCACCTCGGCCCACCGCGAGATCCCTGCACGGCGCAGACTGCGGAGTCGGTGACGGTCCGTTCCCAGTCTCTAGCCACAGAAGGGCCGAGGCCTTGTTTCATCTAAACCCCCCTGAACTGCAGGCTGTCTTCCTGGCTCACCTGGGTTTTTCCAGGACGGCTCCAAAACGTGTCTTCTCATGTGTCCCAGACGCTGGCAGGACCAGCAGACACTTTGCTGGCCAGTTTTTGGTCCTAGGGACCTGGGTTCTCCTCTCTGGAGCCTCTGAGGTTGCCCTTTCTAGTCTGCAGCAGCCAGAGGACCACAGGGAGGGCGTGTCCCAGGAGGCCCCGCCCACCTCAGCCTTTACTTGCAGTTGGGGTGTGGAGTCTGAAGGCCCCTCCCAGAGTGCGGGCTGCGACGGTCACGGCCACTCTGCCACCCACAGGAGACCTGTCCAGATGCCTGGGCTGTACCGCCTCGCTCGGCAGCCAGGTCGGGAGTGTGTAGGTGAGGCCGGGAGCCCGCCGGCCACTGCACGTGCTTTGTGCGGCCTGAGCTCTTCTCCAAATGGGTGATCTGGGGAGAGGCATGGCCGTCTGCAGGCAGGTTCCTTGGGCTTTTCACAGAAGCCCATGGTTAGAGCAGGTCCCTGGCCTTGGGTCTCTGCTCCAGCTGGATGTCCTGAGCCTCACCCAATGCATTCCTCCCCGTCCACTCTGCCAGGAGCAGCTCAGAGCCCTCGCCATGCGGGCTGAGCACAGGGAGGGCAGCGTCAGAGCCCACTCGGCTCCGCAAACACTCATGTTCCACTCTGCCAGGAGCAGCTCAGAGCCCTCGCCATGTGGGCTGAGCACAGGGAGGGCAGCGTCAGAGCCCACTCGGCTCCACAAACACTCATGTTGCTTGCGGAGACTTTTTGGTTTTTTTGCTTCTTATGAAGAGGCAAGTTTTCTTTCTTCCTGAACCGAAAGGTTTTAGATGGAGCCTGCCGTTAGAAGCGCAAGATTCATGCCATATTAACGAGAACAATTGATTTTTCTGCCAGGCAGAGCAGCCAGTCTGTCTTGGAGGCTGTGCTGTGGCGTGAGGAGGCCCCTTGCTCAGATCAGCCCATGCCCTCCCCAAGCCTTGGCCAGCCTGTCAAGGTCTGCAGGAGCTGGAGGCACAGCCCACCTGCCCTTCCCGAGGCCTGAGCACCTCTTCTTCCACGGCCGGGAAGACCTGATCCTGAGCCTGGCTGGGCCCTCCCTGCCGTCTGTGCTGCAGCCCCTGGGTGCCCACCCCACAGCCACAGGCCTGGTGACAGAGAAGGCAGTGCCCCTGAAGAGGAGTCCAGCTTTGGGGTGCAGAGCCACGGGTCCTTCCCCAGTCCAAGGGGAGGGTGGGGGCCAGCTGTGCAGGAATCACAGGGTGGCCCTGACAAGCACCTTCCCTTGCAGCCACACCCACTCGCCCGGGTCTATGGCCACGGTCGGAGAGTGGTCCTGTGCACGCTGCACCTTCCTGAACCCGGCCGGCCAGCTCCAGTGCTCCATCTGCGAGGCCCCGCGGCACAAGCCCGACCTCAACCACATCCTGCGGCTCAGCGTGGAGGAGCAGAAATGGCCCTGCGCCCGCTGCACCTTCCGAAACTTCCTGGGCAAGGAGGCCTGCGAGGTGTGCGGCTTCGCCCCGGAGCCTGCGCCTGGGGCTGCCCTTCTGCCTGTGCTCAACGGGGTCCTCCCCAGGCCACCCACCATCCTGGGGGAACCCAAGGGCAGCTGCCAGGAGGAAGCAGGTGCAGTGAGGACTTCGGGACTGGTGACCACAGAACCCGCCAGGGGTCAACGAGAGGACGAGGAAGAAGAGGAGGGGGTCGCAGAGCCTGGAGGGGGCTGGGCCTGCCCGCGCTGCACGCTGCACAACACGCCTGTGGCCAGCTCCTGCTCCGCCTGTGGGGGCCCACGCAGGCTCTCACTGCCACGAATCCCTCCTGAGGCCCTGGTGGTCCCGGAAGTGGTGGCCCCAGCAGGCTTCCACGTCGGGCCTGCTGGGCCTCCACCTGGCCTCCCCGGGGAGGGTGCCGAGGCCAACCCCCCAGCCACCAGCCAGGGCCCAGCTGCTGAGCCGGAGCCGCCCAGGGCCCCACCCTTCAGTCCCTTCTCATCCACCCTGCAGAACAACCCCGTGCCTCGAAGCCGACGTGAGGTCCCCCCGCAGCTGCAGCCGCCGGTGCCTGAGGCTGTCCAGCCCTCACCCTCTACCGGCTGCAGGGGACCCCAGGGCGCAGGCTGGGCTGGGGCCACTCGCCTGGCAGAGTTGCTGTCCAGCAAGCGGCTGAGTGTGCTAGAGGAAGAGGCTGCGGAGGGCGGTTCCAGCCGTGTAGAGACCGGCAGCTCCACCTCGGGCAGCGACATCATCGACCTGGCTGGAGACACAGTGCGCTACACACCCGCCAGCCCCTCCAGCCCCGACTTCACCACCTGGGCGTGCGCCAGGTGCACCCTCAGGAACCCCACCGCGGCCCCCAGGTGCTCAGCCTGCGGCTGTTCCAAACTGCACGGCTTCCAGGAGCATGGCGAGCCCCCTGCCCACTGCCCCGACTGCGGGGCCGACAAGCCCGGCCCCTGTGGCAGAAGCTGCGGACGGGTCCCCTCGGCTCAGAAGACCGCCCGCCTCATGCCCGAGCGCCCAGGCCAGTGGGCCTGTCCTGCCTGCACCCTGCTCAACACACCGCGAGCCAAGCACTGCGCCGCCTGCCACACACCCCAGCTCCTGGTGGCCCAGCGGCGGGGGGCTGCACCCCTGCGGCGCAGGGAGAGCATGCACGTGGAGCAGCGGCGGCAGACGGACGAGGGCGAGGCCAAGGCGCTCTGGGAGAACATTGTGGCCTTCTGCCGGGAGGTGAGGCACACCCCTCGCCCTCCTCCTGCCCTCCTCTTTGTCAGCTGGGCTCTAGCGGTCGGCTGGGGAGAAGCTACGAGGCGCAGGACATGAGGGGAGGGCAGCACCCACTGCCCTGGGGTCCTGCTGGTGACCAAGATGCACGACCTTTACCCACCTCAGCCCTCCTCCATGGCCGGCCCAGAGCCCCTTCTGGTGTATCGGCCACAGGGAGGCTAGAGCTTCCCAGGGGCAGCATGGAGACGCTGCTGAAGTGGAGGGTTGGGATGTGCCCGGCTCTGCCCTCCCAAGTCCAGGCTGGCGTCACCCACAAGTCAACTGAGGAGCAGCCTGCACCCTCTCCAGCAGGGCCAGGGCAAGAGCTATGCTGCCATCCCCATACCTCCCCCTGGGGGCTGCGCTGTGCCCCTAGGCCCACGTTCCCTGCTCCCCACCCATCGACAGCCAGTGGGCTCTCAGCCAGGGCTGAGGGCACCCTCCACACAGGGCAGGGCAGCCGAGCACCAGGTCTGTGGGCTGTACATGCTCCACCCGTTCCTTCGGGGTCGGGCACTGCTTTCGGGCGCTCTCCTGGGTGGGGTCTTGTCCCTGCCCAGCCTGACACGTGTCCACGGTCTCTACAGAATAACGTGAGCTTCGTGGATGACAGCTTCCCGCCCGGGCCCCAGTCTGTGGGCTTCCCCACGGGCGACAGCGTGCAGCAGCGTGTGAAGCAGTGGTTGCGGCCCCAAGAGATCAACTGCTCCGTCTTCAGGGACCACAGGGCCTCGTGGTCTGTGTTCCACACACTGAGGCCCTCGGACATCCTGCAGGGGCTGCTGGGAAACTGCTGGTGAGGCCCGCAGTGAGGCCGGGGTGGGGCAGGTGGGCGGGTGTCCAGCTGCGGTCACCCCGAGGTCACCCTCACACTCTGCAGGTTCCTGAGTGCCCTGGCGGTACTGGCGGAGCGGCCGGACCTGGTGGAGCGGGTGATGGTCACGCGCAGCCTGTGCGCAGAGGGCGCCTACCAGGTGCGGCTGTGCAAGGACGGCACGTGGACCACGGTGCTGGTGGACGACATGTTGCCCTGTGACGAGGCCGGCTGCCTCCTCTTCTCACAGGTGGGGCGGCGTGTGGGGCGGGCACGGGCGGCAGGGACAGCCTCTGACCCTGGCCACCTGCCCCGCCAAAGAGGCCGGCAGCCTCCTCTCCTCGCAGGTGGGGCGGTGTGGGGAGCAGGTGAGGGTGGTCTCTGACCCCGGCCCTCTACAGGCGCAGCGGAAGCAGCTGTGGGTGGCTCTCATCGAGAAGGCACTGGCCAAGCTGCACGGCTCCTACTTCGCGCTCCAGGCGGGCCGCGCCATCGAAGGCCTGGCCACGCTCACCGGCGCCCCCTGCGAGAGCCTGGCGCTGCAGGTCAGCTCCACTAACCCCCGCGAGGAGCCCGTTGACACTGACCTCATCTGGGCCAAAATGCTGAGTTCTAAGGAGGCTGGGTAAGAGGGGGGGCGCTGCATGGTCAGCCGCATTGGGAGGAGAGGCGAGGCGGACGGTGGGAGACGTGGGGCTGGCGCCCTCTGACCCAGTTCTGCGTCCACGAGGTGCCCCTGGAGTGGGCTGACCCTGCGTGGCCAGGCCGAGGCCCCCATCAGCTCCCCTTCCCCAGGCGGGGCTGGAGCCAGCGTTCCCATGCCAGGAAGGCCACATCCTGACCCAGGCCGTGGGGTGAGCCCAATGCCATCGCCCTCCTCAGAGCAGGCATGAGGGGCACGTTCTGAGTTTGGCCACACCCTGGTCAGCGGGTCTGTGCCTTGACCCCAGGAGGCCTGCGGGGAGTGGCCCAGCGCAAAGCACCTCGAAACTCCCAGACCCTTCCTCTCAGCTGACCCTGGGCAGTGCTGCTGCCTGCCCGCTCGGGAGCCACAGAGCCCGGAGCCACCCCCACTCAGGCCCTGTGCGCCTCAGGCACGGTGGAGGGCGCTGGGCCAGACCCCACTGAACACACCTCACCTGGTCCCCACAGGCAGGAGGGGGCCCTCCTCTGCTGCCCCTTCCTGCCCTGGGGGCACGGTCAAGGCCAGCGAGGGCCCCGATCATCAAGCCCCCAATCAGCCATGCCCCGGTCAGTGAGGGCCCCGGTCAGTGAGGGCCCCAGTCAGCAAGGGCTGCTCTACCACACAGGTTCCTCATGGGCGCCTCCTGTGGTGGGGGCAACATGAAGGTGGACGACTCAGCCTATGAGAGCCTGGGCCTGCGCCCCCGCCATGCCTACTCCATCCTGGATGTTCGAGACGTGCAGGGCACCAGGTGGGGCCGGGCTGGCTGAGGGTGGGCAGCATGCATGGAGCCTCGGGCGGCACACTTCTGACCCGCACCCTGTGGTCTCCAGGCTTCTGCGGCTCCGAAACCCCTGGGGCCGTTTCTCTTGGAACGGCAGCTGGTCGGACGAGTGGCCGCACTGGCCGGGGCACCTGCGTGGTGAGCTCATGCCGCATGGCAGCAGCGAGGGCGTCTTCTGGATGGAGTATGGTGACTTCGTCAGGTACCAGCTCCGCGGGGGTGTGCGCTGCGCCACGCCCCGCCTTCCCAGGGCCGGGTCCTTCTCTGGGGAACAAGCCTGGCCCTACTGCTGACCTGGGGCTTCAACTCTAGAGCGCTGACCTCAGAATCCAGGTCCACCTAGGTCAGCAGAGCCCCACTGTCCCCAAGTCAACCAGGGCCCAGCGCCCTGAAGAGGCCCCTCGGTGTAGGACTCAGGAATGGGTCCCCAGGGCCGGTGACCACAGCAACAGAGCAGTTAGCACCTGCTGTGGTCACCGGCCTGTGGGGGCGCCAAGAGTGGGGCCACAGAGGTGTGGGCCGTGGTGTGCTCAGTCACCGGCCTGTGGGGGCGCCAGTAGTGGGGCCACAGAGGTGTGGGCCGTGGTGTGCTCAGTCACCGGCCTGTGGGGGCGCCAGGAGTGGGGCCACAGAGGTGTGGGCCGTGGTGTGCTCAGTCACCGGCCTGTGGGGGCGCCAGGAGTGGGGCCACAGAGGTGTGGGCCGTGGTGTGCTCAGTCACCGGCCTGTGGGGGCGCCAGGAGTGGGGCCACAGAGGTGTGGGCCGTGGTGTGCTCAGTCACCGGCCTGTGGGGGCGCCAGGAGTGGGGCCACAGAGGTGTGGGCCGTGGTGTGCTCAGTCACCGGCCTGTGGGGGCGCCAGGAGTGGGGCCACAGAGGTGTGGGCCGTGGTGTGCTCAGTCACCGGCCTGTGGGGGCGCCAGGAGTGGGGCCACAGAGGTGTGGGCCGTGGTGTGCTCAGTCACCGGCCTGTGGGGGCGCCAGGAGTGGGGCCACAGAGGTGTGGGCCGTGGTGTGCTCAGGGCTGCGTCCTCCGCCACCCCCAGGTACTTCGACTCCGTGGACATCTGTAAGGTGCACTCGGACTGGCAGGAGGCCCGTGTTCAGGGCTGCTTTCCCAGCTCTGCCAGCGCGCCCGTGGGGGTGACGGCGCTCACGGTGCTGGAGCGGGCCTCGCTGGAGTTTGCGCTCTTCCAGGAGGGCAGTAGGTGGGGCTGCGGGGCCCTGCGGGGCTGGGCTGGGCTGGGCTGGAGGCCGCGACCACCCATGACCCTGGCCCACGGTGTCTGGCACAGGCGCTCGGACGCTGTAGACAGCCACCTGCTGGACCTGTGCATCCTGGTGTTCCGGGCCACGTTCGGCAGGGGCGGCCACCTCAGCCTAGGCCGCCTCTTGGCCCACAGCAAGCGTGCAGTTAAGAAGTTTGTCAGCTGCGACGTCATGCTGGAGCCGGGCGAGTATGCCGTGGTGTGCTGTGCCTTCAATCACTGGGGTCCGCCCCCGCCAGGCGCCCCTGCCCCACAAGGTACGCGCCCCTGCCCCACAATGTATGCACCCCTGCCCCAGGTCCACACCCAGGCCCTCAGAGAGGGCTGCAGCTCACACACCCTTCCCTGTAGCCTCCAGCCCCTCAGTGGTGGTCCCGAGAGCTGCCCCGGAGCCGCCAGGCCACGTGCTGGCCGTGTACAGCTCCAGGCTGGTCATGGTGGAGCCCGTGGAAGCCCAGCCCACGACGCTGGCCGATGCCATCATCCTGCTCACCGAGAGCCGCGGGGAGCGGCACGAGGTGGGCCGGGGTCCGGGGGAAGGTGGTGTGGGGCGGGGGAGTGTTACCTCAGCCCTGCCCTGTCCCACAACGGCCCTGCCTGTGTCCAGGGCCGAGAGGGCATGACGTGCTACTACCTGACACACGGCTGGGCGGGGCTCATCGTGGTGGTGGAGAACCGGCACCCCAAGGCCTACCTGCATGTGCAGTGTGACTGCAGTGACAGCTTCAACGTGGTGTCCACGCGCGGCAGCCTGCGCACCCAGGACAGTGTGCCACCCCTGCACAGGTGCCTTCACGGTCGCACCCACACCCCCACCCCCGCCCCTGCACAGGTGCCTTCACGGTCCCACCCACACCCCCACCCCCGCACAGGTGCCTTCACGGTCCCACCCACACCCCCACCCCCGCACAGGTGTTCCCACACCCCCACCCCCACCCCTGCACAGGTGAACCCACAACCCCATCCTCACCCCCACCCCGAGCTGGTGCACCCATACCCCCACCCTCACCCTCGCGCAGGTACACCCCCACCCCCAGCCCCATGCAGGTGCACCCACACCCCCACCCCTGCATGTCTGTGCCTACACCCCCACCACTGCACAGGTGCACCCACGTCTCTGCCCCCACCTCTGCACAGGTGCACCCACGTCTCTGCCCCCACCTCTGCACAGGTGCACCCACGCCTCTGCCCCCACCTCTGTACAGGTACACCATGCCCCCATCAACACCCCTTCACGGGTGCACCCATACCCACCCCCAGCCCTACACTGGTGCCCCCACATCTCAAGCCATGTCCCCACCCTGCACAGGTGTCTCTCACCCCACTCCTGCACCTGCCCCTGCCCTTGCCCTTGCCTCTGCACAGGTGGGCATAGCCCCTGCCCTCCACTGGTCCTCACTGGTCCTCTCCCCCAGGCAGGTCCTGGTGATCTTGTCCCAGCTGGAGGGCAATGCCGGCTTCTCCATCACCCACCGACTGGCACATCGCAAGGCAGCCCAGGCCTTCCTCACCGACTGGACGGCCTCGAAGGGCACCCACAGCCCCCCGCTCACACCAGAGATTGCCGGTCTGCATGGACCCCGGCCACTGTAACCACCATGCCAGGGCAGGGGCTGTGTGCAGATGGACCCCCATCCCCCACACGCACTTTATGAGGGAGACCCCGACAGAGGACGCTTGAATCAGAATCTCAGGACCCTGCCCAGGGAGCTGCCAGCCCAGGGCGCAGCTTCCCATGGGCACCCCACCCCCCTCCCTCCCCTCCCTGAGTACCCACAGTCCGCCTGGCCAGGCCTCCCAGCCGCCATGCAGAATACCTCGAACCAGGCGAGCTGTGAGCCAGCCCAGCTGACCTGCCAGCCTTGAGCCCAGCATCTTGCGGGGGGGCCGAGGTCAGGCCGTCCCTCCTTGTGGGCTTAGGGTCTCCTGCCAGGGAGGCGGCCAGCAGCTCTGTCCACCAAACCAAATCTGGGTGTCAGAGACCAAGGCCCTGGGGCGGGATCAGGGACCACCCCCCATGGGGCATGAGGTCAGCTTTCCCCCAGAGCCTGGGTCCCTGTCCCCCATAGGCAGGCGGGGTCCCTGGAGCCCTGGCGTCGAGCGGCAAATCCTGGGGGCTGTGCCTGTCTCAGAAGGGGGGGCCCTCGGCCAGCCACCCCCCAGTGACACTATGCAACTCCTGGAGTGCACGCCAGGATCGAAGCCATGACGGGTGCAGCTGGCGCCAGGCCTGCTGTGGGTGTGCCAGTCCTCAGCACCGCTGTCCGCTGCCCAGCAGGCTCCTCAGTCAATCCCATCCCTCGGCCTGGCCCTGCTGCAGAGAGGGACCCCGGCCCATCGAGGGCATCCGCAGGGCTCAGCTGCTCCCACCGACCCGGGCAGCCCAGGGAGTGTAGATATGCAGACGTCTCGAGCCCAGCTTTCTCCATGCCCTCCTGGCCCCCAGGCAGCAGGCCAGTCCTGCCCTCGCTCCCCTCCTGCCCCTCTCAGGGGCTTCCGGGGCTTTGACACCTGGAGAAACGTTCCCCACTCCCCTTTGGCCTCCCTGTACTCCGAGCTGTGAATATTTTTAACCCTGTAAATATGGCCAGCTCTTGTGACACAGAGACTATTTTATCAACTGTCAGCCCGTTCCTTTACGGTAGGATTCTCCACAGTGGCTTCCGACTCAGGCTCCAATGGACCAAATAAAAGCATTTTGTTTTGTAGTAAGGCTCCCTTCTGCTGTTGCCCCACTAGGGACCCTGTGGAAGGGGTGGGAGGTTGCAGGTCCAAGGGAGAGGCCCTGCACAGGCATCCCGGGTGGGCCTGCAGGTGGGGACCCCTGGAGATGGCCATGGTGGGGTGGCAAACCTGTAAGGGGCAGCCAGCCTGCCAGGAAGGACTTGATTCCTGGGCACGGGCAGGGGCCAGGACCTGTGGCTACAGGGCCAGGAAGGACTGGGCAGATGAGACAGCAGCCGTGCGGCTTTTCCCAGTGAGGCATCCACAGTGGAGACCCTGTCTGAACCCATCAGTCTCCTGGCAGAAGCAGATGGAGCAGGGGGTGCATGGGGAGAAAAGTTTCCTGGTCCCTCCCAGCCCCGTCCCAGGGTGTCCTCTGCCCCACGCAGGTGCTGCTGAGCAGAGCACCCGCTCAGAGACTCCTGTCTGGCAGCCAGGACTCTGCTGTCCCTGGGCAGAGTTGGGGGCTGGGGTGCGGCGGGCACGGGGTAAGAGGCTGTCACGGGCAGCGCATTGAATGTGAAAGCAATTAAAGCCACCAGCAGTGTTGGCTCCAGGCGGGCCTCGGGCAGTGGGGAGCTGCCAGAACACATCTCACCTCGGTGCCCGCGGACCGCTGCCCCGCGGCTGCGCGGCCACACCAGACTCCTGTGGGTGGGGGCCGGGCTCGCACCCGCTCCTGTCCGGCACAGGCTGGCTCTGTCCAGCCCTGGGGCGTCTGGGACCCCCACACCTCCTGCTCCTCTGTCCCGGCACCCACCTCTGGCTTTGCTACCCCAGCACTGGGGTGGCTCAGGACAGAGGCCCATGAGAAGAACCCTGTGGAGTCGGGGTAGGAGTCCCCACAGCACGGGGTCTGCACACCCGCACAGCTGCCCGGAGCCCCCCGACTCACCCAGCCAGCAGCCTCCCCTCCACATGGAAGCCCGAATGCTGGGGACAGCTCCAACAGGAACGTGGTGAGGGAGGCGGGTGTTTGCAGAGGGCAGCTCAGACCCTAGCAGGTGTTGAGGGCCGCTGTGGGGGCCTGGAGGACGTGGGTAGCAGCAGCCTGGGGGACAGGTGCTAGCGTCCTGCGAGCACAGGGAGGACTGGCTGGCCAGGACGCATAGCCCTGGTACAGGGCAGACCCTGGGGGCGAGTGTCAGGGGCTGCTCCCTTCTCACTGTCATGGTTCAGCCCCCCCGTCCCTCTTCTCCGTGTGGACCTCTCCCCTCCCCCACGTCCCTCTGGGTCACAGCCATCACCCCGTGTGTCTGGCCTTTGTCAGCCCTGTGCCCCCACGGTGCCCTCTCCTGGCCCCTCTTGTTGGCACTGCTGGCCACAGTGGCCTTCCCGGGGCGGGCGGTGGCGAGTTCTCACTTGTGAAGCATCCCTGTCAGAAGCACTTAGTGTACAAATTAGCTGTGGCCTCCCCGCCTCCTTCCACAGCTCTGGGCGCTGGGCTGACTGGGCCGCGGCTCCAGGCCCTCTTGCGCCTGCCCGGGGCGCACGGCTGCCCAGTGTGGACCCCTGGCTGCCTCCCCACGTCCTAGCAGGAGTTCCCACTCCCCGCTGGCTGGCTGGGGCTCCCCCAGGACCCCGACCTAGACCCGGGCAGGGGTGACCACATCGGGCAGGGGGTGCTTAATGAGGTATGGGGGGTGGGAGGCCCGGGCCCAGCATCCACCCCGAGTGGCCAGCCCTGGTGCCGAGGGCCATGCTGGGGCCCCACCGCCCCACCTGCCCGTCGGAGGCCCCGCCACCCCACCCGCCAGCCGGCCTGCCACTCAGGCGGGGAAAATCGTCTGTGACAGGCCCAGGAAGGCCGGCCCCGGGGGCCGCAGAGAGACGCACACAGCTCCTCTTCCCAACATATGGCTGCTGTCGGCCCCGGGCACTGCTGGCCAGTGCCAGCCTTGGGAGCCAGTGGGGGCTCGGGCAGCCTGAGCCTCCCGTCACACCCACCTGGCCGGCTGCCTTCTCTGTCAGGCCAGAGGCTCCAACCCAGCTCCCAGCCTCCTGGCGGGGGGGGGGCTCACTCTCCCACTACAGCAGCTCGGCCCTCCAAGGAGCGTCCAGCAGCCTCGTCCACTCCAGAGGCCCAGGACACACAGAGGGTCAGCCCCACACCCAGCCCATGGTAGCCGGTGGCCGGTGGCCAAGTCCATGGGAGGAGTGCACTGCGTGGGGAAGGGCCCAGCCGGGGTCTTCCAGAGCCGAGCCGCTGGCGGGGAGGCGGAGTGGGCTCTGGGCCGGTCAGAGCTGCTTTGGAGGACTCTGCCCAGTACAGCTGTGTGCAGGCCCACGGTGTTACAGCTCCCATACAGGTACCTCCTAACAGGGCCCCCTTTCCCTCAGGTAGAGGACCCCTGAACTGCCCAGGCTCTTCGTGTGCCCCCCATACCCATGGGCCGTTGTCCTGGGCACTCCAGCCAACTCGGTGGCTCAGCCCCGTCTGTGCTCCCCCCGAAGCCCACTGTGGGCCCGCCCGTCACGGCTGGCAGCTTTGGGCTGGTGCCAGAGCCCTCTTGTGTGGTCTTGACCCCTTCGGCCAAGGCCCAGGCTGCCCTCTCAACCTGGAGTCCTTGCGTGGGCGGGAAGGAGGAAGCCCCCAGGAGGCCTGTGGTCCTTGAAGTGCTCCGAGGTGGCCACTGGCCCCGGGTCAGTTAGTGAAAGGGCAGACATCAGCCATGGCCAGGCACCCTGCACAGTACTGAGCCCACAGTACTGAGGGTCGGGGCTCCAATAGCTGCCACTGGACAGACATGCCGGGGTCTCAGGCCCTGCGTGAGGCTTGCAGCCCTTGTCCCGACGCTGGCTGTGAGCCGACGCTGAGGGGATGAGACAGGCCTGCCCCCGGGCGCTGGCCATGCCGAGCGCTGCCTCCCTGCCTTCCCTGAGCCCAGCTCTCCGTCCTGCCCTCGAGCCCCCTGGCACACAGTCTCGGTGTTAATGGAGGTGACAGGCGGGCAGCCGTGGGCAGACCGGGCAGAAGAGGTTAATGGCCAACATGAGCTTCTGGCTGAAGGCAGAAGGAGGGGCCGTGGGGGCGCCATCCCACTCTGCACTGGGACTGGCTAAGGAGATACCAGGGCACCCACACGAGGACCCACCAGAGCAGAAGTGCCCAGAGACTGAGCACCCCACCGCCCCGTTCTGCAGAAGGGGGCTGTGGCCCAGGAAGTGGGGGGCACAGGTGCCGAAACACAGTCTCAGTCGCTGCCTCAGGGAGCAGAGGCCACCTCTGCAAACCCAAGGTCCGCCCTGTCTGCCAAGGGCTGGGTCCCAGCAGGTGGGTCACGGCCACGGTGAGGAGGCCGATGTGCCCGGGGGCCCTGTGATTAAGGGGTGCTGACACTGACCACCCAGCCTCGCCGGGCTGTTCGTGGTGGGGACAGTCCTCACACACCCTTTCCCCCACCATGCATGGGCTGTCTGGGTGCACCGCTGAATCTCACGACCCCCACCAGCAAGGGCAGGCCCTCCTCCTCCACACCAGAGCCCTTCCTGGAGGACAGAAACGTGTCTGAGTTGTGCCCCTGGGCTCCCCTGGGGGCTGCCACCTCTACTCTTCTCATCCAAACTCCTGCAACGGCTCATCCGTGGTGAGGAGGGGCGTGGGGGGGCTCCAGCTGCTCCCTTCAGCCTGCTCAGCACTGAGCACGGCCTTGTCCCCCTCTGGGGCTCCTCGGTCCCCTGAGCTTCACTGGGCTTCGTTCCCTGCATGCTGAGATTGAGGCCCCCCAACACCAGGGCCCCGTGCTCCCTTACTTTCCTTCCCCTGGATGACGGCCAGAGCCTCCAGCCAGTCACTCTCCTGTGCTGTCAGCTGTGGCCTCTTCCAGACCTTCAGAGGGGTCAGCGTCGGGCTGACCAGTGAGGGGCTACTGGTGTCAGGGTGACTAGCAGTCCCTCAGGTCACCGTCTCAGGGTGACCTCGGCCCCTAGTCTCGCCGGGCAATGCTCGGCTGAACACGTCCCGAGCAGGGTCTATGTACAGAAGCAGCCGGCCTCCTGGCCCCCACTCTCCACGGGGCTGCTGGCGTGACGGAGCCCAAGCTGTCTCCCGGCCCGGGGCTGCCTGCACGGTCAGCTGGTCAGCTGGGCCAGGCCAGGCGGGCAGAGAGAAGACTGCCATGCTCTGCCATCCACAGCACCCCTCCCAGTCCCTGGCCCCACCCCAGGGACTTCCTCAGACGGGCGTGGGAGGCTGTGTCAGAGAAGGTGGCATGGGGGCAGGAGGGAGACAGAGCCCCACACCTACCCCAGAACCAGGGGCAGTTCCTCATGGACCCTGGGTGTGCTCCGCCAGGCGCTGGGCCTGGCCATCAGCCCAGTGCACAGAGAGGGACTCCTCAGCCAGGCCGGGGCTGCGGAGATGCTGCTGGACTCTCTTCTCTGCCCCATTTGAGGAGGGACACCCAGAAGCCCCATGGGGTTTTCCCTTCTTCCCCAGGGCACCCCTGACCCTAACCTGAGCTGGAGACAGCCCCGGAGCCCACTGCTGAGCCTGCAGGGAGTCCCAGGTCCCGGGGTGGGGGCCATGTGAGTCGGGGCTCCCTGCGCCTCCTCAGAGACAGCCTGGAACAGCACACTCCCCTCTGGCTGAAGACCCCCAGGCCCACCTGTCACACGGGTAGGCTTTAGGACGTCTCCCCAGAGCGAAGGCAGGAGCTCTCCGGAGAGGTCGTGTCCGGCTCTACCCCAGCCATGCCTGTGTGTGAGTCTGGGAGAGAGCAGGCCCGTCAGGTCAATCTCCCCTAGGACCTAGCTGAGCAGTGGGACTCCAGACCTCTGTGTTCTGGCAGCTCAGGGAGGGACTTGGAACTTGGTGCAGCGAGGGAGGTGGGGCCGGGAGCTGCCCTGGCCAGAGCACATTGGGGGAAGGGCTTCGTGGTGTGGCTGGGGGTCCGGGCCCTGCTTCTCACCTCCACGCCCCAGGTCCTCTCAGGAGGGGGTCTTTCAAACAGCAGGGAAGTGCATAGTCTGGTGGTGCAGCCCCGAGGCGACTCCCTGGGGAGTGGGGAATAGGGGCTGGAGGGGTTCTGCACCCAGAAAGGGGGGAGGATGCCTGGAAATCAGCCCCAGGTGGAGGCCGTCAGCCGCAGGGCGGGGTGCGAGGGGCCGGTCCTTGCAGCCTCCTGTTTGGAGGAAAAGAGAACGGAGGGCAGGGCTCGCCCAGGGAGGGCGCAGAAGGGAGCCCGGCTCCGCCGCCCCGCGCCAAGCGCTGCCCTCCCCGACCAGCTCCGGCCGAGGCCCCCCTGTCCCGGGGCTCAGCCCCCCGGGGCCTTGGCTTGGGTGGGCCGGCGGCTGTCAGGGGCCAGAGCCCTGACGGATGAGCCCTGACGGCCCCTCTCCCGCGCCCGGCGCCGCTGACACCCATCAGGCCGGGCGGGCACCCGGGAGACCTGGCGGCCTCTGCGCACCCCGCGGCAGCCTGCGGGCGACGGGGACGGGAGGCGCGGGGCGCCCCTCACTCGGCCGCACACCTGAGCCGCAGTCCGCCCGCCGGGCGCTGCCTCCCGGGGTCCCGCCGCCCCACCGCGCGCGTCGCCCCGAGAGCTGAGAGGGTCCCGGCGCACGATGCAGGTGAGCGCGCGCGAGGCGGCGGCGGTGGGGGGCGCGGGCCGGGGCCGGGGGGGCTGTTCGCCCCTCCCGCCGCGAGCGCGGTCGGAGGTCGCAGCGCCCCCCGAAGCCCGGAGCCCAGGCGCACGCGCGCCGGCCTCTGCTGCCAACTTCAGCGGGTGCGAGCGGCGTCGGGGGGACGCGGTCGGCGGCGGAGGCTGCGGGAGTCGCTGCCGCGAGAGTCCCGCTGGCCCGAGGGGTCCGGCTCCGGGAGCCCGGCCTCAGTTTCCCCCCCGGGAGCCGCATCCTGCCTCTCGAGCCCGAGCGCGTCCGCGGGGTCCGAGTCGTGGCCGGCGCGGGGCGGGGAGGGGCGGGAAGTTTGCGCCCCACGCGCGGCCTCACAGACTTGGCGGCTCCGCGGGCTCCGCTCCCGGCCGGGCGCAGGTAGGAGCGGCGGGGGCTTTGGGGGCTGCGGGGGCGGCAAATTTGGGCGTCGCGGGTCCGGCGGGGCGCGGGGGCGGCGGGTGATCAGGAGTGTGGGGGGCACGAGGGGCGGCTGGACCCTGCACCCCACTTCTCGGCGTCCAGGAGCTGCGCGCGGGGAGGGAGGTCCGCTCTCAGGGGCTCCGCGGGAAGGGCAGGGGCCGGGTCTGGGGTCTGGGACGGGAGCCTGCCCTGGCGCTCTCCTCACCCGCCTGTGTGGGGTTCCCCGCTTCCTGGGGGGGAGGCCAGCAGGATCTGAGGGTGGCTGGTCAAGGGTCCCCGGCTTCTGGGCGCCTCCTCCTTACCCGGGGTGGGGCCCTGTGCCCCGCATGCCACCGGTTCTCCCCCAGACAGGGAAAGGTGAGTGGGGCAGGGTATCCGGGCCGGGCACAAGGGCGCAGGGTGCCCGGGGAGCCACTGCTGGGTCCAGCTGGGACGTGCGTGGGAGTGCCTGTGCCTTTTGTGTGTGTCCGTGTGCCTGCTCTCTGGGGGTGTCTTTTGCTCTGTGTACACACAGCAGGTGAGTGCCAGGCATCCTCCGGGTCCCCATGGGGTCGTCGGCTGCTGAGACAGCCCCTCGGAGAAGCCCCTGACCCAGGAGCTCCCGGTTTCTGCTGGGAGGCGGGGTGGGTTGTGGCACCAGTCGGCACAGCTGTGTGGCTCGCAGGGCTGGGTGATCGATGGCCCCACACAGCCGCCTCTGTCGCCGGAGCACCCACACCCATCTGTCATCCACATGGGGTGGGGGGGGCAGCAAGCAGGGAGAAGGGGCCGCCTTTGCACCCATCACCCAGTCCAGGTGGGGCGTGCAGCCCCTCGGGGAGCCCCAGGCCCTCTCCTGGCCCAGCTCTCGCCTCCCGACCCCCACCCTGTCTCAGCCACAAACCAGGCAGTCGGCCTCTGCCTGCCCATGCCGCCCATGACCCCCAAACCTTTGGACGAGGGGCCCTCTCCTGCCGTTGGTGGTCCCCCCAGCAGTGCCCACCCAGGGTTCTAGGGGCAGCAGACAGCACTGCCCAGCCCTACCGGCTCAGCCCACCGGCCATGCATGACCAGCCATGTCTGCACATGTCCTGGGCGGTGTGTGGTGCCTGCGCGTGAGTGCCGTGTAGTAGCGGGTCAGAGAGCCGCCCACACCCTGAGTGTGCTGTGTGTTACCACAGACAAGCAGCCATGTCCGCCGTGACGGGGTGTGAGGCGTGTGTGCGGCCAGGGTCCTTGCCCTTGGTGGCAAACTCTGTTCTGTGCTGGCTAGGTGGCACAGAGGTGGCTCCACCGGGCACTGGGTGAGGGCTCTGCGTGAGCCTGTGCACTGTGCACACACACTCGAAGCCCGTGTGCGCAGGCGTGCCGTGCACCCCACACAGGCAGTGCTGGGGCGGTGGGCAGCCCAGGTGGCAGCCCAGATGGAGTGTGGAGCGCATACCAGTGCCGTGCGGGGCGTGGGGAGGAGCGGGTCTTGGCTGAGTGTGGCCGCTGCAGGCTCGGCCACTGACCTGCCCGAAGCCACCCAGATGGAGCTGAGCTGAGCAGGTGGCTGAGCCACGGGGCCATGCTGGGACGTCCACTCCCCACAGCCTGGCCTGGCCCCACGTGGGGCTGACCCCCTCAGAGACCCCCAGTGCCCACCTGACGCCCTGCTGGAACAGGCTCTGTGTGCTCGGGTGCACACGCACACGCGCACAGACACAGTGCATGCACACACGCGTACACACGTGCACACGCACACACGCGCCCGCAGCGTCATCCCATGCAGGTCCTTGTGTCGGTGTCTCGTCTCAGTGCCTTTCCCTCGTTTTCGAACAGGGGAGGGCAGATCGGAGGGGCCGGGGATGCCGGAGGGCATGAAACTAGGAGGCTGATGTCTCCCCGGAGTGAGACCGGGTCACGCTGACTCTTTCAGTCACTCACGTGCTGTGGGGAGATGGGTGTGGGCTGAATTCTCCTAGAAATTGGCCAGCGAGCCGGCCTGGCCTCAGGGATGGGGGCTTGCATAGGGTCAGCCGATAAATAAAGGACTCCTAGTTAAAATCGAACTTCAGATAAACAAGGAGCACCTTTCCAGTGTGCGTTGCCGGAGCTGCCCAGGCTACACTAACTCTCAGAAGTGACGTGCTGCTGCTGGTGTGTCCTGGACTTTTTTTTTTTGGTGCCCTGCACTTTGCTGCACTGGCCACTCTGCAAGTGTGCATGGGGAGGAGCCAAAGGATGGGGCCGGGGCTGTGCAGGGAGGAGGCAGGGGGCCCCCTGGGCTCCTGTCCCCGGAGCTTCTGGAGCCCTGCATGGAGAGCAGTGTGGAGTGGGCTGGGCGCTGACTGTGGCCCCATCTGCAGGTGGCCGTGGTGCCCGGGCCTGCCCCATAGCAGGCTGCCATGTCTCGGGAGGCGGGCTCGTGCCGCGTGGGCACAGGGGCGAGGGCGCGGTCTCGGAAGCCGAAGAAGCCACACTACATCCCGCGGCCCTGGGGCAAACCCTACAACTACAAATGCTTCCAGTGCCCATTCACCTGCCTGGAGAAGTCACACCTCTACAATCACATGAAGTACAGCCTCTGCAAAGACTCCCTCTCCCTGCTGCTGGACTCCCCGGACTGGGCGTGCCGCCGCCGCCCCACCACGCCCCGGCCCCGCGCACCCACCCCAGACCGCCCTGGGGAGTCCGACCCTGTCAGGCTGCCCCGAGGAGCGCGGCCCCCAGATGCTGCCCGCACGCCTGACCACGTTGTGGATGCCGTTGTCCACTCCCTGCACCGTGGCAGGGGCCCCAAGCCCGGGGCCCAGGGGTCCCCAGGGCCACCACCCCCTGGGGCTAGGGCCACCAGGAAAGGTCCCAGCCCAGGTGGGCTCCTGCCTGAGTCGTGGAAGCCAGGGATGGGAGGGGGCCCAAGGGGCGTGGCTGTGGGGGACGTGGCCTCAGCAGGCCCTGAAGGCAGCATCCCCTGCTTCCCCCCACCTACTCCAGGGGAGTTCCCCGAGGCCCATAGCCTCCACCTGTCCCTGCTGGGTGTCAACTACCCACTCAGCCCGGGCCTCTTCTCCTACCTGGGGCCCTCACTGGCCGCTGCGGCCCACGTGCCCTTCCTGGCCTCAGCCAGCCCCCTGCTGCCCCCGGCTGCAGCATTCCCAGCCCCGCAGCCCCCTCAGCGCCCCCCGCTTGTCCCCCGTCTGTACTACCCGCTGCTCCTGGAGCACACTCTGGGGCCGCCCACAGGCAAAGCTGTTCTTGCCAAGGCCCCTGTCCCTCCGAAGGGTCTCCCTGGGACTCTGGCTCCTGGCCTGCTGAAGGCACCGGTTCCAGGGCTGGGGCCGTGGCCCCGAGTCACCCCCAGAGACTCAGGGCAGGAGGGGGAGTTGGAGCGGGTAGCCCAGAGTGACCCCAGGAGGAGGCTGTCCCTGGGAAGCAGGCTGGAGCTCCCGAAGGCGCCCCCCGGTCTCACAAAGTTCTGTTCCCGGAGCAGGTAGGTGTCTTGGGTGCCCAGTTTCTGGGGTGGATGGGCCGGGGGGCTGGGCATGGTGGCTGGGTTCCGTCCTGAGTTCAGTCACTGGGAAAGTGACCAGGCCACAGAGGAGAACTGAGACCCAAGAGCCAGTGCAGGGGTCCTTGGGGTCTCCGGGAGAGCCCAGGCTCTAGGCTGGGGCCATGGGGCAGAGCCCATGAGGGGGATGGGGCAGGGGCTGGGGGCACTGTGGGGGGAGTGCGGCCTCATGACCGGCTCCCACACCCCCAGCCTGCCCACCGACTCCTCTGCGATGATGTGGCCTCAGGACAGGGAGCCAGGCGGCCCTGAGACCCCCGGCCCCGAGGGTCCCTTCCCCCTGCAGCCACGGGGCCCGGCGCCGGGAAGCCCAGGGCGCGTGGGTGAGGACCTGACCCGGGCCCTCGGTGACTACGCCAGTTTAGAGCGACGCCTCGGGCAGCTGGTGCCCGCTGGGGGTCTAGCCCCGAGTCCCCTGCGGGAGCAGCTGGGCAAGATCCGCCTGGAGCTGCTCACCATTCACCAGGCACTGGAGCAGGCCTCGAGGCTGCCTGACGCACCCCTCGACCTCTCTGTGAAACGGGGGCCTGCCAAGGGGCCTGAGGCTCTTGGAGAGGCCTGGGGGCAGCCCGAGCTAGGTCCCATGTTGGCTGGAGGGACCCCTGAGCCACCCAGCATGCTGGGCCCCGAAGCACCCGAAGCCTTCTCTGGCCATACCACCAAGTGTGAAGCTGACTCCAGTGTCCCCCCACCAGGGCTCCCTCTCCCGGCCCCAGACGACCCTGTCCTTCCTGGCAGTGGCTGGGGCACCTGTGTTGGGACGGGGAGCTCCCAGACCCCAGAGGCTGTCTGCCGCCTGCAGGGCCCCCCGGGAGCTGAGGTCTGACCTGCAGCACCTGCGGTCTGTCTGTCTCGGCCCCCAGTGTGCCCGACCCTCACCTGGTCCAGCCCCGTGGCCAAGGCCTGGGACCCGTCCCCCGTCAGCATGCATGTGGATAGACCCCCTCGGGCCGTGGCCAAGGCTTGTCCCTGGGGCCACACAGGGAGGGGGAGGTCACGGTTATTTATTAATCACAACTGTGGACATTAAAACAGAAACTGTCTTCACACACCCTGCCTGTGCTTCCTTCCTTTGGGGCCCTGGTGCAGGCACCTGGCCTGGGAGTCTTGGGTGTGCTTCTGTCCTCAGACCCGGCCCCCTCCTGTGGGGGTTGGAGTCTGGGGGTGGGAGGGGCTGTCGCCGTGGGGAGCTGAGCGAGGAGAGGCATGTGGTCTGGGCTGCCTGTGTTTCCGTGCGTTGGGGGTGGGCACGGACCCCTGGCATCCTCTAGCCCCCAAATCCGGCAAGGCAGCACTAACATCAGCTCTCCTGCGGTTAAACGGTGGCCCCAAGGCTCTGTGGCTTGAGGCTGCTCACCCATCGTGGGCTCTGCTGGCCTCCGCCAGCCCCTGCAGCCACGATAGGCATCAGCCTTCACAGCTCACTGCCTCCCTCCCGGCATGGCCTGGCTCAGCCCTCCCACGGACAGGCGATGGGCAGGCAGGGAGGGGCACCCGGGACCCCCACAGCAAATCACTTCCCTCTTGGGAGAGCTGGCTACGCCCTCAATGGCCATCCTGGAAGGGGCCTTGGAGCCCACCTTGCCCCCGAGGAGAAGCAGCAATTCCTGCCTGTGTCTGGCTCCCTGAGCTGAGCTGGGCTGGACTGGCCGGGCTGGGGCAGTCCAAGCAGGCTGGCAGTGGCCCCATTAGCTGCCAGGGAGATAGCATCAGCCCAGACCCTGCCTCGGGGCAGCCAGAGCTGGGGTGCTGGCTGGCCAGGGAGATAGCATCAGCACCCCCAACCCACTGCCTCGGGGCAGCCAGAGCTGGGGTGCTGGCTGGCCAGGCTCAGAGTGGGGCAGGGGGTGGGAGGGACAGGTCCTGGCTGGGCTCCTCTGCCCAGAGGTTTCTTGGAGGGGCTGCAGGGGGCCCCTGGCAGTCAGGAAGTGTCCCCAGGTCCTGAGTCAGGAAGTGACTCCCTGTCCTCAGCCCCTGCACCTCCATGTGTCCACTGCACCCTAGTTCCTCACCCCACTGGGCAGACAGGTGAGCATGGCCTTGCCGGGGGCAAGAGCACCTGTCTCACAGGTGTGGAGACAGAACCTCCTTCCCTGTCACCCATGGGAGCAGGACAGGCCTTGCAGAGGGTGCCTCAGCCAGCTGGTCACCTGCCCGTGGTTCAGACGCAAGCACTCTGCTTGGGGGTGGTGGCCTGGGGCTGCCTTGCCACTTGGAGTAATGCACTTGCTGTCTGTGGGGGGCCATGAGGGACCCCCTGAAGCGGGGTGGGCTGCGTGCCATCCGGCTGTGCAGGGAAGTGGAAACGGCATCTGGCCAGAGGGTGCCGCCTGCACCGAGGCAGCACTGCGAGTCTTTGGGGAACTTGGTTTTTATTTCACAGAAGCTTCCGGGGCTGAGGCCCAAGACTGTTCTCTCCCTCCTCCACCCGGCCCAGCTGCGTCCCTGCCACTGGCTCCTCCCCCTTCCTCGGGCTCTAGTTTCCAACAACAGAGACTGCAGCCAAAGCCCCGGAAAGCGCCCAGCGCCACGGGCCAGGTGGGGGAAGCCTCCCCACCCAGCCTCCCTCAGAACAGGCTCCCTCACCGCTCAGGGGTCGCAAGTCTTCCTGACCGAGGGACTCAGGTGGAAGGGCTAAGTGTGGGTGACCCCCAAGCAGAAGGCAGTTTCATAGGCAGATGGATTTGAGAAATGCTGCTTGTCTGTCCCCGCAAGGCTGTGAGCCCGTGAGCCCATTTGGGGCCCAGAGCAAAACCCACAGTGAGCTCCATGGACGGCGCCTCCCAGACTCAAGTTCCAGGCACGGAGATGCTAGGGTGGCTGCTGGGCTTCGGGGCCAGGTCGACCCTCAGGGCCTGGAGGATCTGGCCCAATGGGAGGGCCCTGGGCCCCCTGGAGGGCGCCAGGAAGAGCGACTTCTCCATTCTTGCACACAGTGGGGCCTTATTCTCTCTCTCGCAGCCCCCAAACTTGGCCCAGTTGCAGAGAAGTGGGGATGGTGACTGGCCCGCCTGGACTCCGGCCTCCCGGTGTCCACACCTCACACTGGACCGGCCTGGAGACCCCATTGGCTCCTGGAAGCCCCAGCTGCTTGGGCGGATCCAGGTGCCTGCAGGGACTGCAGGAGGGTCCGGGGGCCTGCATTGCTCCCCCACTGACGGCCTGCTCTTTGTCACGGCCGGGGCTGCGCCCTGTGTCCACGTGCTGGATCTGGAGGGACGCCCCGTCTGCCTCCTGCCCTGCCGCACTCCGGGGGCCGGGGCCTTGGTTCCAGAGGATGTGACTGTGACTGAGTCAGGGCTCAGGGTGGTCAGCGACCCGTCCATGGGGCTGTCCGTGCACTCCAGCACACAGCCCAGGACCCGGGGGGCCGCTGGGTGATGGTGGGCACCTTCCCGTCTCCCCAGGGGCTGGCTGTGGACACCCTCAGTCGCCTCCTGGTGACAGACTACGTGTCCAGGGCTGTGCACAGCTTCATGTTGGGCCATGCTTGGAAGCCCCTGGTCCCGGCTTCTATGCTGGGTCTGGAGGGCCCCTGCTGGGTGGGCCCGGGGCCTGATGGGGGCTTTGCTGTGAGTGAAGGGTTTGGGGATGTGTGGCTGTTTGGCAGTGCCCGCCAGCCACTGGGCTCCCTGGGGGGCTGGACAGGGCACACTTTTGGCTGCCCAGCGGGCATCTGCTCCAACTCAGAGGGTAACATTATTGTGGCAGATGAGCAGAGGCGCCAGGTGACCCTGTTTCCCTGGTCTGGGTCACCCATATGCCTGGTGTCACAGGGGCTTGGGCGGCCCAGGGCCAGCTCCTGGTGGCCGATGCCAAGGACAACTCCATCAAGGTGTACCAGGGCCTCAAGCAGCTGGCCTGACCTTCAGCTGGGCTGGAGCAGCCCTCCTGTGCCTGGGGCCAGCTCCAAGGCCCTTGGATCACCATGGGAGGAACCTTCAGTGTGGGTGGAGCCTGCAGGCTGTGGGCCTTGCCAGCCTGATGCCAGCACTGCTTGGGCTGGGCCCAGTCCTCCTGCTGGTGAGGCTCCTGAGTTAGTGCCTCCCAGGCTGCCCCTGCCAGGCCTGCAGCCTCCCCAGCCAGGGCCAGTCTCTGCTGTCCCCATTGAGCGCCATGGCCCCTGCATTTATGCACCCCAAGTCCACTCAGGCCCTGTGCATGAACTTTGCAGCTGGCAGCTGAAGCCTTGAGTGATGGTGGGCATGTCGGGCCAGCTGCCGGCACATGGCTAGGCATGCTCTCTCCTGGTGCCCCCACCCAGGCCTCCTAATCAGAGGCAGACAGGCAGGGAGGGTGCAGCTGGGCTGGGCTTGGCGACCTGGGGCAGGGGTGTAGCCCTAAGTGTCCCAGTTAGAGGCACCTACAGTCCTGAGCCTCCAGTAGCTTTTCTGGGCCTGGCAGAGGTAAGGGGGAGGCAGCCCTGGAGGTGTCTGGAGGCCCATGAATGGTTGAAACCTGGATGCCTTTTCTTCCACGTCCCGTGAATGAAGGCTGGGCCTTCATTCTGCAAATGGGGACAAACAGCTCCGCACTTGAGGGCCTGGGGGAGCCTTCCTCTAAGGACAGACTCCTGCTGCTTTAGAAGACTGAGAAAAGGCCGGGCTCGGGGGCTCACCTGTAATCCCTCAGCCTGTAATCCCAGCTTCAGGAGGCCGACGTGGGTGGATCACAAGGTCAGGAGATGGAGACCATCCTTGCGAACACCGTGAAACCCCGACTTTACTAAAAATACAAAAAATCAGCCGGGTGTAGCGGCGCGTGCCTGTAATCCCAGCTACTCAGGAGGCTGAGGCAGAAGAATTGCTTGAACCCGGGAGGCAGAAGTTGCAGTGAGCCGAGATTGTGCCACTGCACTCCAGCCTGGGCAACAGAGCAAGATTCCGTCTTGGGGGTGGGGTGGGGGGAAACTGGGGGGGGGAAAAAAAAAAAAAAAAAAGCAGGCACCCGCCACCACGCCCGGATAATTTTTTGCATTTTTAGTAGCGACGAGGTTTCACCACGTTGGCCGGGCTGGTCTCGAACCCCTGACTTCGTGATCCACCAGCCTCGGGGATCTAACCCTCTGCCTCCATTTTGCAACTGGGGAAAGAAGGCGTGAAAGGAGAGGCGCCTGGGTTACTCTGCGGGTCTGGGGTCCAGGGAGGGGCTGGCATGGGGAGGGGAGCCGGGAGGGGACAGTGTCTGGCCCTTCCCCTGTGGGGTGGGAGGGGGGCTCCCCTGTGGGGTGGGAGGGGGGCTCCCCTGCGTCACAGGACGTCCCCCCCGAGAGGTCCTCACGCGCCTGAGCCCTGTGGGGGGGATTAATTGGGGAACGTGGTAGGTGCTCAGTGAACCGGGGCTGCTGCCGCGGGCGGGTCTGCGCCGGGGTCACGTTCCTCGCACCCGGAGGCGCCGGACGCCCGCGTTCCCGCCTGACGATCGCTGGCTGCAGCCCCTGGGGGGCTCCTACCCGGGCCTCAAAGTCCCCGGCACCGCCGGCCTCGGGGATTTGGGGGCGGCCCCTCTGCAGACTGCAGGGCGAGGGGCGGAGCGGGCTGGGGCCCGGGCCCTCTGGAACCCCGCAGGGGCTGGGCCCGTTCACCCGGGGAGGCGGGGGGCCGGGCGGGGTCGTCGGTGTCTCTCGCCGGAGGAAGCGGAGCTGAGGCAGCGCTGGCGGCCCCGGGGAGGCGCGGGAGGTCCGGGCCTGGGGACCGGGCTGCGCCGCGGAACGCTCGGACTGGGCGGGCGGGCAGCCCGGGCGCCTTTGGGGGCCGGACCGTCGCGCGGCAACGTGCGGAGCCGGCGGAAGTGGGGCTCGGGTCCCGCGGCGGGGCTGGGGGCTGCGAGCGCCGTCATCCGCCCGGGCCCGCCCAACGGGGTTCAACCCCTTCCGGATCCCCCCCCCCACCCCCGGCCCGAGCGCGCGGCCCCCGGAGCAGCCGGTGAGCGGGGCGGTGGGAGGGCGCGGCGGGACCTCGGGCAGCGCCCCTGCGGCTCTGGGCCCGGGCTGGGGGCCCCGCCCGCCCCCCGCGGGGCTGCTGGTTCCTCCTCCTCCGGGAAGTGGGGCGGCCCCTGGGCCTGCGCCTCCGACCCGCGCCGACCCGGCTTCCGTAGACCTTGGGCAGGGGCGGCCGGGGTCCGGGCCGGGCTGTGGGCCCGTCGCAGTTGTCCCGAGTCGCAGGAAAGGGCGAAAAAAAGAATCACAGGCTCTTCCCGGCCTCAGGAAGACGAGCGAGCGTTTGTTTGGGTTTTCTTGAGACGGGTTCTCCCCACGGTGCCCAGGCTGCAGTGCAAGGGCGCGATCTCGGCTCACTGCAAGCTCCGCCTCCGGGTTCAAGCAGTTCTCTGCCTCCGCCTCCGCAGTAGCTGGGGTTACAGGCACCCGCCACCACGCCCGGATAATTTTTTGCATTTTTTTTTTTTTTTTTTTTTTGAGGCGGAGTTTCGCTTGTTACCCAGGCTGGAGTGCAATGGCGCGATCTCGGCTCACCGCAACGTCCGCCTCCTGGGTTCAGGCAATTCTCCTGCCTCAGCCTCCCGAGTAGCTGGGATTACAGGCACGCGCCACCATGCACAGCTAATTTTTTGTATTTTTAGTGGAGACGGGGTTTCACATGTTGACCAGGATGGTCTCGATCTCTTGACCTCGTGATCCACCCGCCTCAGCCTCCCAAAGTGCTGGGATTACAGGCTTGAGCCACCGCGCCCGGCCAATTTTTTGCATTTTTAGTAGCGACGGGGTTTCACCATGTTGGCCGGGCTGGTCTCGAACCCCTGACTTCGTGATCCACCCGCCTCAGCCTCCCAAGGTGGGATTACAGGCGCAAGCCACTGCGCCCCGCCTATGTATTGATTTTGAGAGGGAGTCTCGCCTTGTCACTCAGGCTGGGGTGCAGTGGTGTGATCTTGGCTCACTGCAACCTCTGCCTCCGGGTTCAAGTGATTCTCCTGCTTCAGCCTCCCGAGTAGCTGGGACCTGTAGCCTGTCTCCACACCCAGCTAATTTTTGTATTTTCAGTTGAAACGGGGTTTCACCCCCATCCTGGCAGGTCTGGAACTCCTGACCTGGATTGATTCTCCCGCCTTGGCCTCCCAGAGTGCTGGGGTTACAGGCGTGAGCCACCTCGCCAGGCTCATGCTTATTTTTTCAAACAAGGCACTGGGACACGCAAGTTCTCCTGAGCTCTTGTGGAGCGGCGGCAGAGAGGGGCGGCTCAGTCAGAGATGGCCCTGGCCTGTCCCAACTGGGCTGAGGTTCCGCCATTCCTGCATTCAGGGGAAGAGAGGAAAGTCACTACTGTCTGTGGTCGAGTTTTGACCCTAAGCTTTGTGGGGAGGGGTGTCCTGGAGCCCTCCCTACCTGCCTGCTCTGGGAACGGTTTCACTCAGGATCCTTCTTAGCAGAGGAAGCTTTTCTGGCTAGCCTGGTGCCCTTTACTGTTTTGTTTTTTTGTTTTTTTTTTAATCTCAGTCTTTAAAGATGCTCACATTGCCCGAGTTTCTGCGCTCTTCCTCCCGTCCCGCACCTCCTCTGCTATCGATTGCTGCTCTTTCATCTTCCTCTGGCTGTGTGATCCCGGCAGCCGCTAGCGCAGGCTTCTTTGTGTAGTCGTCGCTCCCAGAGGCTGAGGTGGGAGCGTGATGGGCGTTTGCCCCGTAGTGGGTTGAGTTCTCTCTCACTGCCCTCCCATCTCAGTCAGTAGACACAAGGAGCTGCTGCTTTTTTTCTTAAGGTAAAGTTTGTAGATAAAGCACAAAGAATACACACAAAGAAAGCGCCGGTATCGTGAGCACATGCATAGCTCGGTGAATTTACCCAAAGTGAGCCCGATGCACAACCCGCTCCCCCCAGTACATCTGTTTACTGTTAGGCTGATTGTGTTTCTTCTCTGACTGTATCTGTGGGCAGTTTTCCTTAGTTCCTGTGAAAGCTGTTTCCCAGCAGGGCGTGATGGGTCCCTGGGCTGAGCTGGAGCGTCCTGGCTGGCTGATGCTGAAAGGTGGGCTGTGCCGGGTGATCCCTGCTGGTGGTCACTCAGCCAGAAGCGCTGGCCCCTCACAGGCAGAGCTGCTGTCACGATGAGCTTGGTGCCCACATCGTGTGGCCTCCAGGCCTGTACCTGCCGCCTGCCCTCTCTGGCCACTGAGGAAATGGGCATCTGGGGGCTTCTGCAGCCGGACCCAGAAGAGCCCTTTCCTGTTAGAACCTTCTGCCTCAAGTGGCCAGCCCCTCCAGCCCCCTGGTGCAGGCTGTCTGCGGGGAAGGAGAGCAGCTGCGCTGGCCTCTTAAGCCCCGGGCCTTTCTGTGTGAGGCCTCTGCCACAGCCCCTCCAAGCTTCAGGAGAGGACTTCCGGTCACACCACCTCGATGTGTGTGTCCTGCTCTGTTCCCTCGTCCCTTAAGGGCGTGGTGGGCACTGGGACCTACAGTCCAGGCTCAGGCCAAGCTGTGTCCCTCCCTTGGGCGTGAGGGGTTTCTGCTCACGTGGCCCACTCCATCCTCTGTGCAGGCGAGATGGGGCTTTCCAAGTCAGAGGAGGACGTGCAGCCCACCAGCGGGCCAGCAGCACCACTGCAGCAAGATCCTCCTGTCCTGTGGGACCCTGGCGGGGAGGGCTTCCGTGGAGGAGGAAGCCCCAGCTGGCTTCGAGGCTTGGCAGGGGCCTGAGAGAAAGTGGGAGGAGGAACCCAGCACCTGAGAACTGCAGTGTCTCGGGTGGCTGCTATTAGAGGCCACCCCGTGGCTGCTGTGTCCAGCCTGAGGGCACAGGACCTGTGAGCCTCTCTCCCCATCTCTAGGCAGCCATGTGGTTGGAGAAACAGATCCTGGAAGAGAAAGTGCTCCGCTGGGGGAGGCCTGCTCTGGAGTGGCTGCGGGCATGTCAGGGGGAGCCAGGCACTGCCCAGGTGCCACAGTGAGGCTGGGGGAGGCCTGCTCTGGAGTGGCTGTGGGCATGTCAGGGGGAGCCAGGCACTGCCCAGGTGACACAGTGAGGCTGGGGGAGGCCTGCTCTGGAGTGGCTGTGGGCATGTCAGGGGGAGCCAGGCACTGCCCAGGTGACACAGTGAGGCTGGGGGAGGCCTGCTCTGGAGTGGCTGTGGGCATGTCAGGGGGAGCCAGGCACTGCCCAGGTGCCACAGAGAGGTCAGAGTGGAGGCCGAAGCCCTGTGTGCACCGAGCCTGCTCCCCGGCAGTGAGGCGGGTCCTTCCTGCCACCACGGAGGGGGCTCGTGGGAGGCAGGGACCTTGTGGGTGCTGCCCGCGGTGTGCACAAGGGTGGTTTCCTCACCCAGCGGCACTTTGTCTTACATTTTCATCTTCATTCTTGCTAGTTTGATAAGTAAATCATGGCTTGTGAAGATTTTAATTTGTGTGACCTTGTTAATGAGATTGTGTTTTTCCATGTGCTGCACCTTTAAGAACACCTCTCTAATCAGGCTTCTTAAAAACAAATTAGAAACCTGGAGTTCAGTTCAGCCCACACCTTGGTCAGGCAGTGCTGAGGAGGCCCGCGCCCTGGTCGGTCGGCCTGTCTGGAAATGGAGAGAACAGCCCTGGGGGGGTGCCCCGTGCGGCTGGGGGGTGCTGGGCCTGGGGTGGAGGTGGGGGCTGTGCTCCGGCTGCCCCTTGGAGGAGCGTGGCCCACGTGAGGTAGCAGCCACGGGACCCTGTGGCCTCCACCCTGGAACTGGAAGCCCTGTGGCTGAGGCTGGCAGGCCGTCCGTCTGTGCCACATCCCTCGGTGGCAGGGCAGGGCGGCAGCAGCTGGAGCCGAGCTCTCCCTTCTCTTCCAGCCTCCCAGCATGGTGCTCAAGGCCTTCTTCCCCACGTGCTGCGCCTCCGCCGACAGCGGGCTGCTGGTGGGGCGGTGGGTGCCGGAGCAGAGCTGCGCTGTGGTCCTGGCGGTGGCGCACTTTCCCTTCATCCCCATCCAGGTCAAGCAGCTCCTGGCCCAGGTGCGGCAGGACAGCCAGGTGGGGGTGGCCGTGCTGGGCACCTGGTGCCACCGCCGACAGGAGCCCGAGGAGAGCCTGGGCCACTTCCTGGAGGGCCTGGGTGCCGTCTTCCCCCATGAGCCCTGGCTTCGGCTGTGCCGGGAGAGAGGCGGCACGTTTTGGAGATGCGAGGCCACCCACCGGCAGGCCCCCTGTCCCCCTGGTGAGGACCAGGTCATGCTCATCTTCTATGACCAGCGCCAGGTGCTGCTGTCCCAGCTGCATCCACCTGCCGTCCCGCCCTACCGCCATGTGGGAGCTGACCCGACCAGCCCGGGGGGCTTGGCCGCCGTCTTCCACACGGTGGCGCGCTGTGAGGCGCTCTTCCGCAGCGACCGGTTCGACGAGGGCCCTGTGCGGCTGAGCCACTGGCAGTCGGAGGGCGTGGAGGCCAGCATCCTCGCCGAGCTGGCCAAGCGGGCCTCAGGGCCCATCTGCCTGCTGCTGGCCGGCCTGCTGTCACTGGTCTCCGCTGTCGGTGCCTGCCGGTAGGTGTCCCGGAACAGAGAGGTGGCATACAGTGGGGCCATGTGAGCGCTGGCAAGTCCTTCTGTCTGCAGTGGGCATGGAGGCCCAGGCGGGCTTTTCCCAGGCCCAGCCCCCTCCCCGCTTCCCGAAGCCTGGCCCTGGCTCCATCCTGCCCTCCCAGCCCTTGCCTCTCAGAGGGTGTCTGGTGGTGGCTGTGGCTTCTGTCCCTCACCCCTGGGTAGAGCCGGGTCTCCCGGCAGCCGCAGGGATTGCAGGGGCCCTCCCAGTAGGCGTGGAGGGTGAACTTCAGTGGTTCAGGTCCCTGAAAGAGAAATCAGACGGTGAGCACAGACCAGAATGCGTTACTGCTGTCCAGGGGCGCTCCTGAGGGCACACAGGCCTGCTGGCCTCCCGCAGCCCCACCCGTGCCCCCAGCAGGCCTCTGGGCACTGCAGCGCTCATGGGCTGTCTCATCTGCTTGCTGGCCCCGTGTGCCTGGGGGAGGGTCTGCAGGCCCTGCTGCTCTCCACACTCACAGGTGCTGCTGGCCAAGCGCCAGTGTAAGCCCAAGGGCTGAGAACACAGGGAACCAACCCTTCAACAGGAGACATCTGCCTGGCGGAGGCGCCCTGTGGGGACTGGCTGTGGGTCACTCTCAGTTGCCCAGGACTTAGATCCAGATTACTCTGGAAGCCTGGGGTACTCTACCGTGTGAGAAGCCAGGCCAGCCCAGGAGACCCCTGCCCAGCCTTCTGGGCCTCATCGGCCGGGCCAGGCCCTGGGCAGGTGGGGGCTGCTGCTGGCTCACAGGCGCTGGCTTTGGGAACCTGTGATGGCCAGGTGGCCCGGGGTCAGCACCTTGCGAGGAGGCCAGGCTCCGTGTTAGTTGCGTGCACTGTGTGGTGGGCACTTTGAGAACTGCCGGTCACCCCCGGCCCCCGTCACTGGGCCGCCGAGGGCCCCTCCCACCTGCCCCCACCCTGCTGAGCTTGGAGTGTGGCCTGGATGTTTGTGGTTGTCTGCACAGTGGGGACCATCCCTCCTCTCCACTCCCGTGCAGGGTGTTCAAGCTGTGGCCCCTGTCCTTCCTCGGGAGCAAGCTTTCCACGTGTGAACAGCTCCGGCACCGGCTGGAGCACCTCAGGCTCATCTTCAGTACGAAGAAGGCAGAGAACCCTGCCCAGCTGATGAGGTGCGGGCCTGCCCTGATCTCTTCTGCGGGGCTGGGCGTGTCCTCAGCCCCTTCCCCTTCTCCCTCCGCACCAGGCTGACCCCTCTGGCCAGGGAAGCCTCCTTCTGTGGCCCAGGCTGTGCCAGCCCCCCTCACACCCGCCGGGCCGGACCTCCCTTCCAGGAAGGCCAACACGGTGGCTTCTGTGCTGCTGGACGTGGCCCTGGGCCTCCTGCTGCTGTCCTGGCTCCATGGGAGGAGCCGCATTGTGCATCTGGCTGACACCCTCATCCCTGTGGCTGACGTGAGTGAACTAGGGTGGAGCCCCATCCTACGTGGGTGTGGGGACCCTTCCCGGACCAGAGCTGCCCCCACCCCAGAGCCAGCTCCACCCTCTGCATGCTCTGGAGACCTGGCCCTCCCCTAGACCAGGAGTGGGAGCTGCAGGGGCGCTGGGACTGGGCAGGCAGGCCTTGCAGGTGCCCCCTTTCCTTCTGAAGGGGACTTGTGCGGGAGCCGCTGTGGCTGAGGCCCTGGGCAGCCCGCCTCTCCCTGTGGGCCCGCGTCGTGTCTCTTGTGGCAGCCACCTGCGGTCAGCACTCCCTGACCCTCTGGGGTCATAAAACCGTCCCTGTCCAGAGCTGCCCAGTGTTGACTCTCTAACTCCTGTGCTGAGTGCCAGGGGCTCAGCTTGTCTCCCGTCTCCCATCTTCTCCCACCTTCCCCTGAACGGTCTGTGCCATGAGTCCAGCCAGGTGCAGCCCCTCCTCGGCAGACCTAGCACATTTCCGGCTGCCTGTGGGCCTTCAGCTTCTGTCTCCCTCCCTCAGAGCCAGGGCCCCGTCTCTTCCCTCAGGAGCCTGTCTTCCTGCTGGGGGTGGTCCTGGCTCTTTGGCCCACCCTGGGCCTTCACAGAGCCCTCCCTGCGGTCTGGGTGGGTGTATCTTATGTAGGCTGCTGGTGTGGACTCGGCCTGCTATGGCCAGGCCAGGCCTCTGGGGCAGCAGCAGGCACCTGTGTGTGACATGGGCTGTGGAGGTGCAGGGAGCCCCAGCCCAGAAGGAGGGAGGGGCGGGCGGCTTTACCTGTGCTGCCCCACACACTGCTTTGTCCCAGACCTCCCTTTTGCAAAAGAGCTCAGAGATATAAATATTTAATTCAAAAATGAAAGTCTCTTCCTGCTGCCAAGCTCTTTGCCTTTAAATATTAAGTAAGCTCTATTTATAAAGAATGTTCTTTGCTGCGGCTGAGGCCTTGGCCCAGCCTTGGAAGGGTCCTGCCACTGGGCAGGTGGGGGCCGAAGTGTCATTGTTGCCTGGCGGGGGAGGCTGAGGCTTCCTCGGGGTCTGCCTCCCGGGGCCGACACAGCCTCTGGATGCTGGCTGTCTTCCTGGGCAGCCGGGACCCCACTTCCCTGCTTGTTCTTGGGGGTGCCCCAGCCTCCCGAGTAGCTGGGGTTACAGGGTCTCTGGGGCCCTCAGGAGTCAGGGCCATGGAAGCTTCCTGTCCAGGGCTGCCTGTGTCAGTCGGCTCGAACTTCCTGCCCTGCCCTGTGGCTTCTGTAACTCCTGTGCTGGGGCCGCAGAGGGCCTCTGAGAGCCTGTGCCCTTATCTGGACATCATCCTCTGGGGACCTGCCCTCCAGCCCTGCTGCCAGGGCCCTGACGAGCTTGGCACTGTCTCGGTCACCTGTGGCCAGCCGGGGCAGGCCCAAGCCTCTGTGTTGAGGTGTGGTCTCTGGAGGGGATGGTGTCGGCCGTGGACTCCCCTGCAGGGCTGGAGCCGAATCAGGGACTGCCGGGTCTCGGCGCATCTGTGCGTTTGGAGCCGAGAACTACGGTGGGTCCTGCGGCCCAGGTGGCTGCATACAGGGGACCGTGTGCCATGGGCCAGGGCCAAAATGTTGCCTCCCAGGCCGTGTCACCCACGCCTGCGGAGAGAACCCTCCAGACCAGGCTCCTTAGACCCGGGAGCCCTCTGAAGAGGATCCAGTGGCTGGATGCGCTTGGGAAACCTGTGTGCTGGCCACGGTGGGACGCAGCGGCCCAGGCCCTCAGAGACGCACACCTGGGCTTCCTGTACCCTGCCGAGCCAGGCTGGCCAGGGTGTGGGCCGTTATGAAAGGGCCAGGGGAGATGTCAGTACTGACCCTGGCTGCCCGGTCCCAGTGTGTCCCCTGTGTCCCTGCAGCACGTGGCCGAGGAACTCCAGCACCTGCTGCAGTGGCTGATGGGCGCCCCTGCCGGGCTCAAGATGAACCGCGCGCTGGACCAGGTGCTGGGTCGCTTCTTCCTCTACCACATCCACCTGTGGATCAGTAAGTGTGGGCAGGCGGGCGGCCCTTGCTGAAGAGGGTGGGGCCCAGCCAGACCCTGCCCCCTGTACCCCCAGCTCTGCCCCCCAGCGTCCTGTGTGTGTGAGGCCTGCTGCGCTAGGCCGAGGGCTGGGGCCTGGGTGCCTCCTGAGGGCCGATCCCACCTTGCCAGGCTACATCCACCTCATGTCCCCATTCGTGGAGCATATCCTGTGGCACGTGGGCCTCTCGGCCTGCCTGGGCCTGACGGTGGCCCTGTCCCTCCTCTCCGACATCATCGCCCTCCTCACCTTCCACATCTACTGCTTCTACGTCTATGGAGCCAGGTGGGTGTGGGCTTACCCCTCCCCCGGGATGCAGAGGTTGGGGGGCGCGGCCCGGCCTGACAGCAGTGCGTCTGGCAGGCTGTACCGCCTGAAGATCCACGGCCTGTCCTCGCTCTGGCGTCTGTTCCGGGGGAAGAAGTGGAACGCCCTGCGCCGGCGCGTGGACTCCTGTTCCTATGACCTGGACCAGGTATGCGGCAGGGCTGCTGGCCGGAAGGGCTGACTGCCCTGGGGTTGCTTCCGCCCAGCCAGCGCAGCTGCGTGGGCACCACAAGGGGGCAGCCTGCTCCCGTCCTGCAGCGCGGGCCCTGGGAAGAGGTGCCCCGTGCGTGGTGTGGGCTGCGCGGGGGGGCTCTGAAGCAGCGCAGAGCTTCCCTGGGGCACTGGGTCCCAGACACAACCCTGAGGGTGATGCAGCCACAGGGCCTACAGGTGCCCAGGCACAGAGACAGGTGGTGACCTGGGCTCAGAGGCTGGCTCTGGCTGTCCCATCTGCCGCTCTCAACTGACACAGCCCCTGGATGCTGCCATCTAGGGTGCGTTCTTGGTTACACTCTGTGGCCACGCACTCTCGGCTGGTCTGGCCCCCACCCACCTCCCCTGCGAGTCCCCTAGTCCGTGGGGTATGGATAGACAGCCTTCCTGCCACTGGGACGGCTTCCCTCAGAAGCCGCAGGGTCCCCACTACAGCTCCGGGATGGGGGAGGGCAGTGCTGGGCCTTCTCTGGGCTTGGGGTCCTGCTAATGTCTAGCATGCCTATCCCCCGACAGCTGTTCATCGGTACTCTGCTCTTCACCATCCTGCTCTTCCTCCTGCCCACCACGGCCCTGTACTACCTGGTGTTCACCCTGGTGAGCTGTGGCTTTGGCCGCCGGTCCTAGCCGCAGTGCTCTGTGGCTCCTGCCAGCGCTGGCTGGGAGCAGTCAGCTGTGGGGTGGGCGGTCCCCCTGCAGGCCATGTGGCTGGCTGCTCAGGACCCTCTGGGCAGTGTGTGCTGGGCCCTGGAGTGGGCGGGGCCCTAGCTTGGCCAGGAAGACTCCCTCACTGCCCTAGGACAGGCCACTGGGTGCTTGGTGGGAGGACCCACCAAGCGTCATGCAGGTGGGGTAATGCAGGCAACTTCCCCGGTGCCTGGCACTCGGGTGGACAGCAGGAGGCAAATGGAACCCAGGCGGCCCAGGCCTTGATCCCCTCTGCGTGTGAGGCTGTGGGAGGCACCTCTGACTTTCAGGAGGGCTGACTGCTCAGCCTCCAGTTCTGCTCCAGGGCGAGGCCCCACAGCAGGCTCTGTGCCCTGCTCTGGGTGGGGTCCATGCTCTCCCCAGGCCCTGCAGCCTCTCATCCCTGTTGATTGTCACCCAGGATGGGGTCGGGCTGCTCTGCTCTCAGGCACGTCTGGCCGGGCAGGGTGGGTGGTCCTAAATGCCCCTCTGCCACAGCTCCGGCTCCTGGTGGTCGCCGTGCAGGGCCTGATCCATCTTCTCGTGGACCTCATCAATTCCCTGCCGCTGTATTCGCTGGGTCTTCGGCTCTGCAGGCCCTACAGGCTGGCGGGTAAGTGCTGTGTACTGGGTAGCTGGCCCTGGGAGGATGGATTTGAACCACACCTGTGGGCCCCACAGAAGCAGGGATTGCACAGGCCACTGTGCCTCTGGCCTGGAGCTGTGGTGTGTGTGAGCGTGTGGGCAACGAGGAAGGGCCTCCCAGTCCCAGAGGTCTGCAGGACCAGCCGCCTCCAGTGAGGTGAAGGGAGAGACCCACGTGCCACACAGGCTCAGAAACGTGGCTGCCTGAGGCCACAGGCCTCCCTCTGTTCTTCTGCCTTGGGAGTCCCTGGGCTCGGGAGTCTGAACTGCAGGCCAGGGGTGTGGAGGGCCCTGAGTCAGCCAAGCATACCGAAGTCAGAAGGCATGAAGGGCCAGAGGGCGGCCACCACCCAGCAAGTGCCTGTCTGCTTGGCCGGAACACCCTGTCCACTCAGCAGCATGGCCTCCCGCTCACGGGGCCCTCCCCTGCCTGCTGGACACTTGGCTTCTGTCTTTCAGTGGAGCTCTGCAGGCGGCCTTTTTTTTTGAGACGGAGTCACTCTGTCTCCCTGGCTAGAGTGCAGTGGTGTGATCTCGGCTCACTGCAACCTCTGCCTCTCTGATTCAAGCGATTCTCCTGCCTCAGCCTCCCAAGTAGCTGCTATTACAGGCGCCCGCCATCACACCCAGCTAGTTTTTGTATTTTTAGTAGAGACGGGGTTTGACCATGTTGACCAGGCTGGTCTCGATCTCCTGACCTCAGGTGATCCGCCCACTTTGGCCTCCCAAAGTGCTGGGGTTAGAGGTGTGAGCCACGGTGCCTGGCTGCAGGAGGCTTCGATGCTGGCCTGTCAGCCAGCTCCAGGAGTTGAGCGGGAGGGGGCAGGGAGAGCCGCATGGGTGACCACGGCCCGCAGCACCTGGGTGCCCCTCAGAGAGGAAGGCACCTCAGGCCTCTGCTGATGCTCAGAGCCAGCTCCCATGCACCCTCCCTCATAAGCCCTGGCTCTCCCTGCAGCTGGTGTGAAGTTCCGTGTCCTGGAGCACGAGGCCGGCAGGCCCCTTCGCCTCCTGATGCAGGTGAGGCCCCCTGTGGTGGGGAAGCCCCCAGGCTGCTGCCCCCGTTCTGGGACAGTGGGGTCAGTAGGTTGTGAGGTCTGGATGGCACCACGCTGGCCTGTAATAAGCTACAGGGAGGGCTGAGGGGCAGGGCCTACGCGGGACCCCCACCCTGATCCCCCACAGGAGCCTGAGGATGCCGGTGTGGTCCTGTGGATGGGGCCTGTTCTGCCCTGGGTTGGAGGCACCCTTGGCTGCCTGGGGCTGCCGTGAGCCCCAGAGGGCTCAAGTTGTGGGTGGAACAGAACGGACTGAATGAGTCCTGGGGTGCGGCGTGTGTCCCTGTGGAACGGCCCCAAGGGGACATGCAGCTCCTGCCTCCATCTCACCTCCCTCCAGCCTGCCCGTGCACACGGGAGTGGATGTTGGCTCAGAGCAGAGTGGGGCCGCCTGGCCCTGCAGCCGCAGTGCTCCCTTCCAGCTGCACACTCACCTGCCTTCCTGGGGGTTGGGGGAGGCTTGTCCCACAGGCAAGGGAATGTCTGGGACAGCGCTGGGCCTGCCCTGCAACTGTCCAGCCCAGGGACCCTGAGGGCCAGCCAGGCACACACTGCCCGCCCCCACCTGCCCTCTGCAGACGGGGCTGGAGCAGGGACCACCCTGCCGACCGTGCCTTGTCCTTCCAGATAAACCCACTGCCCTACTGCCGCGTGGTGCACACCTACCGCCTCCCCAGCTGTGGCTGCCATCCCCAGCACTCCTGGGGCTCCCTGTGCCGCAGGCTGTTCTCTGGGGAGCTCATCTATCCCTGGAGGCAGAGATCGGACAAGCAGGACTGAGGCAGCCGGCTCGCCCAGCACCCCCACAGAGCCACGGTCAGCCCTCCCCTCTGCCAGGGTGGAGCCAGCAGCCTGCAGTGGCAGCACGTGCCCCATGCTGTGTGGATGCTGCAGGGTGGGCAGCACTGACTGACTGGCTTGGGACCCACCTCCTGTCTGCTGCGGTCATCATGCTGGCTGAGCACAGCACGCCCCATGCCCACCCTCCACACCAGGTCCAGAGGCCCATTGACCACAGCAGCCCCCGGTGGTGGGGCTGGCTGGTCTCCCTGGGGGCTCCCCAATGGCTCTGCGCTGGCTGGGGGGTGGAGGGACCCTCCCAGGATGAACCCCCCCAGTCCCAGGCACCCTGCAGCTCCCTCAGCCGAACAGCGTTCCCTGTCTGGGGCATAGAAGTAGCCACAGACCCCCGTCCCCCGCCCCAGCCCCAGTGGGCTGGGGTCCTTACTCCCTGAACCATGCGGGGTTTATCTGCTGATGCTCCCTGGCGAGGTCACTTCGTGAAGGAGCCGTCAGCAGGCCGTGGGCATCGCCAGGCTGCTGTGGGGGCGGGAGCAGCCTCACAGGAAGTCCAGTGCCCACCCACCGACCAGCCGTACCTGTCCCTGCGAGGTGCCCCAGCTGGATCTTGCATCTCCCCTCACGGGCCTCCCAGGGAAGGAGAAAGCCCTCCTGGGCATGGCCTTCAGCTGTGAGCAGCCTGGAGAGTGGCCAGGGCGCTGAGACCGAAAGTGCCTGCTGGACGGTCTGGGCGCGGGTGCTCCCTGTGAGCCCAAGTCCCCTTCCGGAGGGGAGCCTACAGGTGCCAGCTGGGTGGGGACAACGACCGCCTGGGCAGCACCAGGACTGCCTGGGACTCCCCGGTGACCCAGCCCCTGGGAAGCTGCCAGCTACTGTGACAATAAAGCCTGCCTTGTGTTTGGGACGTGGGCTTGGCCCCTCCCCTAGCCGTATGTGCCCCGGGTCCGGGGGAGCTCCAGGTGGGGGTGCAGACACTGCTGGAGGGACTGGGTTTGCCCTGAGGTGTCTACACCAGCCTCCTGCTCCAGGCCCTGATGATGGGCCGTTGAGGACCTCGGTGGAGGCGGGTGGACCCGGGCCGCCCACCCTGGGGTTGTGGCCTTGTCCCAGCATAGAGGGCTCTGGAGGCAGGGCTGAGGGCAGGGGTGCAGGCCTCCAGGGGTGGGGCAAGCAGCTCCTGCTGAGGTGAGGCCCTCATGGGTCCTGGCCCTGTAGAGCCTGCGTCTGCCACATCTGCTGAGAACCGTTTCTGTCGCCTGCAGTGCTGGGGGCCCACCAGGTTGGTCCCACAGCCCGTTCCCAGCCCCAAGTGCACAGGTCTCCAACCCGGACTTCTGGGCAACCAGAGGCACCCAGGGCCCACCAGCCCCTATCTGTCCTCTGGAGACCCCAGTTGCCCACCTGGCACCCCCCATCTGTACTCCCTATTTTCCCCACCAGTTGCCTAGCTGGCCCACCTGGCCTGAAACACCCCCACCTGTGTCCCTTGTCCCCCCTGGCTGCTCATCTTGCCCCCACTCCTCCTCTAGCTGCCTACTGAGCCCACCCCTGCATCTGTGCCTCCCACTTCCCCCTAGCTCCCCCCGGGCCACCACCCCTCCTGGGGCTTCCAACAGGTGAGGCCCTTGACACGGCTCAGCCCGCTGCTCTGTGATGGCCACATCATGGGCATGCCTGGCAGCTGTCACCCCCTGTGCTGGGCACTGGGCTGACTGCCTATCCCGAGGGCCAGCCAGGTTTGTCACCAGAGCTGGCCAAGGGAATACTGTCACTTGCAGCCACCGAGAGGAGCTGCCTGTACTTCCCAGGTCAGTCTGTCCTCACTGCACAGCCCCTCTGGATGTCCCTCATCCACTCCACCAGCGCTCCGGCCACCCCTGCCTCACTGGCCCGGAGCTTTTCCAAGGCCATTATGGTCCCTCAAGACACCCTAAGCAGCAGACGTGTCCCCTTTCAGAGTTGGGGCTGTCCACAGAGAGGGATCCCGTAGCACTTCACAGATCCAAGCTTAAACGCTGTGAGAAGAACACAGAGTGCTCCCCAGCACCCCCGCCCACACCCCCTCGTGAACACTGGCCACGTGTACTTTTTCACTTTTTAGACAGTCTCGCTCTGTTGCCCAGGCTGGAGTGCAGTGGCCCAATCTCAGCTCACTGTGGCCTCAACCTCCCTGGGCTCAGGGGATTCTCCCACCTCAGCCTCCCAAGTAGCTGGGATTACAGGTGCCTGCCACCACGCCCAGCTCATTTTTGTATTTTTAGTAGAGATGGGATTACACCGTGCTGGCCAGGCTGGTCTCAGACTCAAGCTCAAACCACCCACCTGCCTTGGCCTCCCAAAGTGCTGGGATTACAAGTGTGAGCCACTGCACCTGGCCAGCACATGCTTTATCTTTTTCTGCACCATTTGAGTCAGTTGCCCATTTCCCCCAGGATTTGCAGCGTGCATTTCCTCAGAACGAGACCATCAGAGCAGTGCTCAAATCCAGGGCTAGTGCACGGATGCCCACCCAAGCGGCCGACCCCATTCTCGTGTGTCCCAGGAGTTATGGGCCAGTCTCCAGAGCCCCTGGTGCTTTAGGGATGGAGCCGGTCACTCAGGAGCATCCCTAGTTGGGTGTGCTGATGACCCTCGAGACAAGACTCCGCTAATGCTTGTGGCGGCAGCAGCAGGGGACCACCTGTTTATCCCAGGTGATGCCAACGTCCTGTCTGAGGGGTTTTCCACTGCAAAGCCATGTTCCCTTGTCATTAGGAACTTGTCCGTGGAGTCAGGACCATGCTGACGCTCTGTCCCTCACTGCCCTCATCCATGGGCACCGGTTCCACTGAGGTGTTGGGCTCTGTCCATTCATGGGATGTGAGTGAGGCCTCCCCTTGGCACCAGGCCAGTGCTGGGGGTCCCTGAGTAGCTGAAACTTTTGTAGCTACTCCCTGGGCACAGAGCTTCAGGGGCCAAAGTTTGTCTGCCCCAGTGGGCACTTGCCCACCCCTTAGCAGGGCTTTGAGGACATCCCAGTGGCCGCTGGGCACCCCAGGGGCAGGGTGGGCACCCTAGACTGTTCCCTTTGCCCCCCAAGCCCCTCCGCCTAATGGCCTGGCCCATCCCTGCCAAGGCCAGTGGGTATGGGGTGTGGGAGGAGGGGCTGTCAGGGCCTCTACCAGTCACTGCTCAGGCCTCCAACATGGTCCTAGAATTACCCTTGACTGCCCAGCAAGTAGGTTCCGAGGTGGTGGCTGACCCAGAGCTTCTGGGTGGTCTCTTCCCACACTCCACTGTCTTTAGCTGCCCTGCCCCTGGCCTGAGGTCCCTCAGCAGCAGGGATGGTGTCCTGTCCCTGGGGCCCAGGCCTGGTCTGGAACATGGTGGACCCCAGGACACCCTGTGGAAATGCACACAGCTACATGGGAGGCATGGCTCCTTGGTCCACAGGGCCTGGATGCCAGAGGATGGCACCCTCTGTCTGCCCCTCCCTTCACTGGGCCTGCTGCCCCAGACCCCTCTGGGTTCCCTGTGAAGTTTTCCTGCTCTGAGGCTGTGAAGTTGGAGGGCAGAGTAGCTTGCTGAGGATCCCACCCTATGGAAAGCTTCCTGAACTCAAACCACAGGTCCCCACCTGGCGTTTGTGATGGCTCCGCAGGCTGTGTTGAGCAGGTCCCGTGGGAGAAGCCTGGCTCCCTCCTCAGCCTGGGGATGGCCCCATCTTGTCCCAGGAGGTGGGAACCAGGCAGCAGTGGCCTCCAGCTGGGTCTGGAGAGTGTTTCTTTTTTTTCCATTTTTTAAAAAAGTTTATTTTTGTGAAGACCATGACAATCTTTTAAACTAGTTCATCTTTAAGCCACTTTTTTTTTTTTTTTTTTTTTTTTTTTTTTGAGACAAAGTCTTGCTCTATAGCTCAGGCTGGAGTGCAATGGCACGATCTCAGCTCACTGTGACCTCCACCTCCTGGGTTCAAGTGATTCTTCTACCTCAGCCTCCCAAGTAGCTGCGATTAGAAGCATGTACCACCATGCCTGGCTAATTTTTGTATTTTCAGTGGAGAGGGGCTTTTACCACGTTGGCCAGGCTGGTCTCGAACTCCTAACCTCAGGTGATCCACTGTGGCTGGCCTCAGAGAGCGTTTCTGATTTATGTTCTCAGGAAAGGGGGAAACGGCTGCTCATCACCATCCCCAATTCCAGGTAACCTTAGAAACCAAGGAGGAAGGGCCGGGTGCGGTGGCTCACGTCTGTAATCCCAGCACTTTGGGAGGCCGAGGTGGATCACGAGGTCAAGAGATCGAGACCATCCTGGTCAACATGGTGAAACCCCGTCTCTACTAAAAATACAAAAAAAATTAGCTGGGCACGGTGGCGCTTGCCTGTAATCCCAGCTACTCAGGAGGCTGAGGCAGGAGAATTGCCTGAACCCAGGAGGCGGAGGTTGCGATGAGCGGAGATCGCGCCATTGCACTCTAGTCTGGGTAACAAGAGCGAAACTCCGTCTCAAAAAAAAAAAAAAAAAAACCAAGAAACCAAGGAGGAAACATCACATCTTTGGTGCTTCCGATCCCTAGATGGAGGGGCCTCAGGGACTTCACAGCCAGGGTTCCAGTCTGGGCACAGTTACCTCTAGGCAGGAGAGGCCCTCCCTGACCTGCCAGGTTGTGATTCGGGGTCAGTTAATGCCTGGGCAACTTGGCAAGACCCCATCTGTATAAAAAAGACAAGAGTTGGCTGGGCGCGGTGGCTCACGCCTGTAATCCCAACACTCTGGGAGGCCGAGGTGGGAGGATCACGAGGTCAAGAGATCGAGACCATCCTGGCCAACGTGGGGAAACTCTGTCTCTACTAAAAATATAAAACTTAGCCGGGTGTAGTGGCAGGTGCCTGTAGTCCCAGCTACTCGGGAGGCTGAGGCTGGAGGACCGCTTGTGCCCGGGAGGCGGAGGCTGCAGTGAACCAGACCGCACCACTGCACTGCAGCCTGAGCGACAGAGTCCGTTTCAAAAGAGAAAAAACTGTCTGTGTGGTGGCCGCTTCATCAAGGCCATGTCTTCAGCTTTCAGGGGTGTGGAGCTGCCCGTCCTGGGGTGTCTCTCTGTGCGAACAGCACCTGCTCCCGGAGGTGCAGCCGGGTCGGGTCTGCTCCTCGCCGGCCGCGCAGACGTGACGGGCTCCGCACCCGGTCTGGAGAGGTCCCCGCCGGCCGGCGCTGCCGGCTTTTGGCTTTTACTTCCCGCTGCAACAGCGTTTCTGAGCGCAGAGCACGGATCACTAAGGACCCCCGTTCCGAGTGCGTGAGTCACTGACGTTCAGCAACTTCACCGCGGCAGGACCATCCCCACGACCGCAGGGCTTCTTCGTCACCCCAGGAAGAGCCACGTGCCCGCCCAACCCACGACTCCGCGCCGGGGCAGACGCAGGGCCAGGCGCAGGCAGCCGCTTCGCTCGCCCGCGCACCTGCGGCTCCCGGGCCCGGCACGGCCGAGCGCTCCACGGCGCCCCCGGGAAGAGGGCTGTCCAGGCCCTGGTTCCCCGCCCGGGAGGAGCCGCTGCCGCGGTGAGCACGTCGGACCGGGTCCTGCGCTCGCGCCGGCCACTTCCCCGCGCGGAAGGCTCAGGATCGCCGACGCCGCGGGGTTCCAGAACCTCAGCGCCTTCACAGACAGGATGGTGACCCGAGGGTCCGCCCCGCCGCCGCCGGGCGGAAGTCCCGCCCCTCCCCGCCCCGCCCCGGAGACGAAATTCTGCCTCGCCCAGCGCCGATTGGCCGCCCCACCTCGGGGAGGATGCGCCGTGGAGCACCCCGCCGCCCGCTCTGAGGTCTCTGCGGAAGCAGGTGGCGCAGCCAGCGAGGGGCTTTCGTTTCCCGTACTCAGACGCGTCCCCGCAGCCCGTCCGCGCGGGGAAGGGCGGATGCAAA